CCCCCTGTCCGCCCTGTCCGCCCTGTCCGCCCTGTCCCCCCTGTCCCCCCTGTCCCCCCTTTCCCCCCCCTGTCCCCCCTGTCCCCCCCCGTCCCCCCTGTCCCCCCCTGTCCCCCCCTGTCCCCCCTGTCCCCCCTGTCCCCCCTGTCCCCCCTGTCCCCCCTCTCTGCCCCACTGGCAGTGTTCCAGCGCTGTGTGGCATTGAAACCCTACGCAGCAAGAGTGAACGACATATACAACGAGTTCACGAGCTACAAGTTCAAAGTGCCGGTCACAGGGGCGATTATTCTAGACCACTCCATGACCCGGGTATTCTATTCCTGACTCTTTGTCCGAACCAACTCAAAAGTTTCTTTAGATCAGCCTTTCGTTTTCGTCGTACTGTTCAGTAGTCAAACCCCTATTTTCGTCAATTTTGCCACAATTTCTGCTCTATTCAATTCGCTATCACCATATTCACTGTATACTCCTGTTTCCACCCCTCCCCTGCCGTGCTGCTACAGTGCATACTCGTTAAAGGGTGGCGAGCCTCTGCGAGCTGGGGCTTTCCCAAGGGCAAGAAGGGTCTCAAAGAGACAGATGCAGAGGCAGCAGTCAGGGAGGTGGGTGGACGGAGAGGTGAGGTGCAGGTTCTGTGGGCGGAGTGACGAGTCTCAATTCTATGCGAGCTGGGGCTTTCCCAAGGGCAAGAAGGGTCTCAAAGAGACAGATGCAGAGGCAGCAGTCAGGGAGGTGGGTGGACGGAGAGGTGAGGTGCAGGTTCTGTGGGCGGAGTGACGAGTCTCAATTCTATGCGAGCTGGGGCTTTCCCAAGGGCAAGAAGGGTCTCAAAGAGACAGATGCAGAGGCAGCAGTCAGGGAGGTGGGTGGACGGAGAGGTGAGGTGCAGGTTCTGTGGGTGGAGTGGCGAGTCTCAATTCTATGCGAGCTGGGGCTTTCCCAAGGGCAAGAAGGGTCTCAAAGAGACAGATGCAGAGGCAGCAGTCAGGGAGGTGGGTGGACGGAGAGGTGAGGTGCAGGTTCTGTGGGTGGAGTGGCGAGTCTCAATTCTATGCGAGCTGGGGCTTTCCCAAGGGCAAGAAGGGACTAAAGGAGACAGTGGGTACCGTGGGGGAGGTGGCTACCATGGGGGAGGTGGGTACCGTGGGGGAGGTGGCTACCATGGGGGAGGTGGGTACTGTGGGGGAGGTGGGTACTGTGGGGGAGGTGGGTACTGTGGGGGAGGTGGGTACCGTGGGGGAGATGCGTACCATGGGGGAGGTGGGTACTGTGGCGTATGGTGCTGGTGCGACCCTAAACCCGGGGCAGCAGCAGCATCATGACAATCGGAGGTCCTTATTCCTTTCATTTCGGTGCCATAGAATCAACTAGGTCCTTATTCCTTCATAAGGAGACCCGGTCGCTTGCTGCGGTTCGAATCCAAGACTTCCTTGGCAGCAGCATCATGACAATCGGAGGTCCTTATTCCTTCATCCCACACCTGGAATGGGAGAAGAGAGGCACAACAACACAGCAGTAAGAGAGGTCCTTATTCCTTCATTTCGGTCTTTATCCCTTCATTCCCTCATTGAATCTCCGCCACACTTCCCTCACTGGTCAATGCCTCCTCTTGCATCTATGCATGCTATCAAAGGCGTGGGAGGAGACAGGGTTCGACATTTCCTCTCTGGTCAACCCTTCAGAGTATTTGGAGGTGATGGCAGGGCAGCAGCAGCAGCAGCAGCAGCAGCAGCAGTGGGAGCATCGATCCTTATGTTTTGTGGTGCCTCTCTTCTCCCATTCCAGGTGTGGGAGGAAACTGGATTTGACATCTCCTCTCTCGTCAACCCTTGAGAGTATCTGGAGGTGGTGGCAGGGCAGCAGCAGTAGGAGCAGCAGCATCGGTGCATTCACTGTCTCCGAGTTTCCCTCATTCCTTCCCACCTCAGGTGTGGGAGGAAACTGGATTTGACATCTCCTCTCTCGTCAACCCTTCAGAGTATCTGGAGGTGGTGGCAGGGCAGCAGCAGCAGCGCTCGCGCCTGTTTGTGGTGGCGGGGGTGGACTCGCGCACAGCAGTGTTCCAGCCGCAAACTGTGAAGGAAATCAGCGTGAGTGAGTGGGGTGGGTGAGTGGGGCTGTGCATGTGGTGGATGTGGTGCATGTGGTGGATGTGGTGCATGTGGTGGATCTGGTGCATGTGGTGGATGTGGTGCATGTGGTGGATGTGGTGCATGTGGTGGATGTGGTACATGTGGTGGATGTGGTGAGTGCACCAGAGCAGCAGCAGCAGTTCTCGCGCTTGTGTGTGGTGGCGGGGGTGGACTCGCGCTCAGCAGTGTTCCAGCCACAGACAGTCAAGGAGATCAGCGTGAGTGGTGTGGGGTGGTTGTGCGTGTGTTTTGAACCTGTGTGTGCCATGAGAAGTGTTTTGAACCTGTGTGTGCCATGAGAAGTGATTTGAACCTGTGTGTGCCATGAGAAGTGATTTGAACCTGTGGGTGCCATGAGAAGTGATTTGAACCTGTGTGTGCCACGAGAAGTGATTTCTGCAGCAGCACCGCTCTCCCCTGTGTGTGGTGGTGGGTGTAGACTCGCGCACTGCCCTCTCCCCTCTCCTCTCCCCTCCCCTCTCAGGAGATCGCATGGCATCTCGTGTGTGACTTGGCAACAGCGCAGAGCGATGGAGCGCCGCCAGTCTCTCGCACAGTCAGCGGTGCCAAGCTCTTCATGGTGCAGCCGTTTGTCAGGTGCGTGGGTGAGTATGTTGCATGTTGTGTGTTGTGGCAAGATGTGTGTGTGTGTGTGTGTGTGTGTGTGTGTGTGTGTGTGTGTGTGTGTGTGTGTGTGTGTGTGTGTGTGTGTGTGCGTGCGTGCGTGCGTGCGTGCGTGTGTGTGTGTGTGCGTGTGCTTGTGCGATACGCTTCATGTGCTGCTTGGCGCCGCCAGTCTCTCGCATAGTCAGCGGTGTGAAGCTCTTCATGGTGCAGCCGTTTGTCAAGTGCGTGGGTGCGTGTGAGTGAGTCTGTTGCGTGTTGCAGCAAGCGATGTGAGTCTACACATGTGCGACCCATCTCTGTCCCACCGTGCTGCCATCTCTCCTCCATCTCTCCTCCATCTCTCCTCCATCTCTCCTCCATCTCTCCTCCATCTCTCCTCCATCTCTCCTCCATCTCTCCTCCATCTCTCCTCCCTCCATCTCTCCTCCATCTCTCCTCCATCTCTCCTCCATCTCTCCATCCATCCCGCCCATGCCCCACCCACCAGGCCCCTGCTGGAGTTGATAGACCGCCACCACACGCCTGACACCCGGCTGCTAGCAGTGCACCAGATGTGTTTTGACACGTGTCAAAACACCACCACACGCCTGACACCCGCCAGCTAGCAGTGCACAAGATGTGTTTTGACACGTGTCAAAACACCACCACACCCCTGACACCCGGCTGCTAGCAGTGCACAAGATGCCATCCATCTCTGCACCGACATGCCGCCACCCGCTCTCATGCTGCCGTCTCTACCCATCCCCACCCCTCACCCTCCAGGCCCCTGCTGGAGTGGATAGACCGCCACCACACGCCCCACTCCCGCCAGCTAGCAGTGCACATGATGCGTGTTCTTGTGTGTCTCATCTCTGTCCCGTCATGCTCCACCGGTCTTTCCTTCCCCTGTCCCCTTGCCACACGAAACAGGCCGCTGCTGGAGTGGATAGACCGCCACCACACGCCCCACTCCCGCCAGCTAGCAGTGCACATGATGCGTGTTCTTGTGTGTCTCATCTCTGTCCCGTCATGCTCCACCGGTCTTTCCTTCCCCTGTCCCCTTGCCACACGAAACAGGCCGCTGCTGGAGTGGATAGACCGCCACCACACGCCCCACTCCCGCCAGCTCGCAGTGCACATGACGCCATAGAACGTCCCAGGGAGCATCATCTCCGTCTCGAAAACCAGCAGCGTTCTTCCCATCCCCCACCTGCCCCTTACTACAGGCCGTGGCTTGAATGGATAGATTGCCGTCTCACACACACACCCTCTCTGCTGCCACTGTGACTCTCCCACTCTCCTACTCTCCTCCACCCGCCCCTCACGCCAGGCCTCTCCTCGAGTGGATAGACCGCCACCACACGCCTGACTCCCGACAGCTAGCTGTGCACATGATGCCGCAGAACGTCCCAGGGAGCATCATCTCCGTCTGGAAGACCAGCAGCGTTCTTCCCGCCTCTCCCCAAACATCCCACTCTCTTGCCCCTATTGCTCCTCCTCCTCCTCCTACTGCTACTGCTGCTGTTGTTGCTTCCCTCAGTGCTGCTTCCACCACTGCTCCACCCTCGTCTCATCATCCCACCATCCCAGCCACCACCGTTGCAGTCCCGCACATTCCCACCGCATCCCCTTCCTCTCTCCGCCATCCAGTCTCCTCGCGCCACGTGGCGGCGGCCAGGAAGCAGCTCTTTCCCGCCGATTCTCCACCTCTGGCCACGTCAGCATCGTCTGGGATCCTGCCAGGTGGCGGCCGGGCGGGAATCCTCAGGCTGCCAGCTGGCACTCTCCCGCAGCAAAGCTTACATCAGCAACAGCAGCACACGCCATCAACGCTATCGGTACCACAAGCAGCAGCGACAGCAGCAGAACCATCGACATCATTAGCAACAGCAGCTGCAGCAGCGGCAGTGCCTCTGCTTCCTCTGTGCTCAGAATGGGTAAACTTCAAGTTTGATCAAGATGCCATTCTGCGTGCCATGCAGGCTGTGTGATGCCAGCCTGCTGCTACTGCATCTGTTAGCTTTAGGTTCATTGCTCGGCGGTGGTTCCTCTGTTTCCTCCCTGCTCAGAATGATTACTCTTCAAGTTTGATAACTGACGCCATTCTGCGTGCCATGCAGGCTGTGTGATTGCCTGATACCGTAGTGTACTTCACCTGCTAGTTTTGGGTTGAATAGAAGTGGCTATCTCTTTGGATTCCTTAGTTCGCCACTGAACTGAAGCATTAGATACACTTTCAATAAATGCATGATACATACATACCCACACAAGCTAAATTCTTGTGAGGGAGATGACATCACATCAGAGCACAACCTTCCAGGGTGCAGCAGCAGCAGCCCCTCACCCCATATGCACTCAGCTCAGACACAGCAGTACCCGTAATTACCCCTAAATACCGTATCACACCCATCCATGCACACAGACTGCAGTACCCATAACTACGGTACCAAACCAGCTACACAGACACAGCAGCACAACCTACCACTACCCCAGGGTGCAGCAGCAGCAGCAGCAGCAGCAGCAGCAGCAGCAGCAGCAGCAGCAGCAGCAGCAGCAGCAGCAGCAGGAGCAGCAGAGACACAGCGGTACCCGTAACCACCACACCCACGGAGAGCAACACATTAGTAATAAGCCAGGGAATGTGCCAATGTGACTCTAACAGGAGTTTCCCCCACCTGTAATGTGACTTTAGGGAACGGGCTCTCAGCAAACCCCTCTATAATCACACGCTGATCGCTCTTCGAGAGGCTTTCCTGGCAACGATACAGTAAGCTCCCTTCAACATAAGGATAAGGCTCGGAATCGTAGTGACTGCAGGGGACTGTGACTGTATGAGAGTCGGTGAAGGAGATGGTGGGAGAGGAGGGGGTGGACGCCGAAATTACCCCTTCGATTTGGGCTACAAAATCCATGTGGCTTATGGTGTTGCGGTGGGTGGGGTCCCTGGAAAAGGGAGTGTGTGGAAAGAGCAGGGGAGGAAGGGTGGGGAAAAAGAAGGGGAGAAAGCGGGGGGAGAGAGGCGAAGAGAGGAGAATTGAGAGGAGAGAATAATGGAAAGGGGAAGGGAAGGGAGACGAGGAGAAAGAGGCCAGCGAGCGGAGGTGAGAAGAGGGGGGAGCGAGAGAAAGGAGCCCCATGTGTACAGCTTCTAGTCGTCTTATAAGAAATGAAACGAGCTATGTGTCGAGCTAAGGAATAATAACAACAACAACAATAATAATAATAATAATAATAATAATAATAATAATAATAATAATAATAATAATAATAATAATAATAATAATAATAATAATAATAATAATAATAATAATAATAATAATAATAATAATAATAATAATAATAATAATAATAATAATAATAATAATAATAATAAAAACTGCCTGGTGCGATGTATACATAGAAAACACCTGTCCCTCCAAGTAAGGCGTATGGTAACTAACCATATGAAGTAGGGGAAGGCGAGGGAAAGGTAAAGTTAGGTAGGGAGAAGGAAGGGGGAAGGTAGGGGTAGGTAGGGGTGGGTAGGGAAAGGCGGGGGAAGGTAGAGGAAAGTGGGGGAAAGGGGGGGAAGACGAGGGGAAGGTGGGGAGGGGAAGGGAGGGGAGGGGAGGGGAGGGGAGGGGAGGGGAGGGGAGGGTATGGGGAGGAGGGGAGGGGAGGGGAGAGGAGGAGGGGGGAGGGGAGGGGAGGGGAGGAGAGGGGAGGGGAGAGGAGGGGAGGAGAGGGGAGGGGAGAGGAGGGGAGGGGGGAGAGGGGAGGGGAGGGGAGGGAAGGGAGGGGAGGGGAGGGGAGGGGAGGGGAGGGGAGGGGAGGGGAGGGGAGGGGAGGGGAGGGGAGGGGAGGTTTTAAAAGCACTCACCGGTGCACCTTGAGACAGATGTCGACCGAAGAGAAGGGGTCTGATGGCGACCCGAGGATGACCTCGCAATATGAGCCTGACGGTTGTGAGGAGAATGGGTAGCAGGAATGAGATTGGAGCTTTTGGAGAGAGGCCGTGGAATGAGATTGTTTCGAGACGTCTCAAAATATGGAGATTTGGAGCTTTTGGGGATTTAGCGAACGACCCTCGGCAGAGTGGAGAATAGGGAGAAGAGTGCGAGGCGAAACGGGCCGGGGAAAAAGAGATGGGAAGCGCTTGCAGGAGAAAACAGGAAATGGGAACAGGGAAAAGGGAAATGGCTAACTGTGCTCCCTGGGAACAGGGAAGAAATGAGACGCCTCACGAACAGGGAATTGGGAATGGGCTCTGAGTGGGGCTCTGAGTGGGAAGCACAAGTGCTTCCTTGACGTTAGGAAGAGCCCTTGGGAACTCACCAATGACGTCATCGTCCGCAATGTAGACGTTGTCGGTAAGACGAGCGCGCGCCAGAGCGGCTGGGAGGAGAGCCGCGAGGAGGACTGTACGAGGGGTGGGGGGATGGAGGGGGGGAGGGAGGGAAGGAGGGGGCGACGTAAGGGAAGGGAATAGAGGAAAGTAAACGGAAAGAAAACGGAGTCATTTTGAGAATTCTCAAAAGCGACTCATTTTGAGGCGCCTTGAAGTTTGTCTCCTCTCATGCAAGAGCGGCCGGGAGAAGAGCAGCGCGGAGGACTGCACGCGGGTAGAGAGTTACGATGGAAGGAAAAAAAAGGAAGGAGAAAAACGGCTGATTCTGCGTTTCGAAGCGCGCAGGAGCTGGAAAAGAAGGAAAGGGAAACATAAGGGGAAACACACACACACACACACACACACACACACACACACACACACACACACACACACACACACACACACACACACACACCCCAAACGTTTTGTTTACGAAGAAAATCATCGAGTTTTGCGATGAGGAAAGGGGAGATGCGGCGAGAGGAGAACGTACGAGCAAAGACGACAACAACGGAAGGTTGACGCCGCGCCGCAGCAGCCATAGCTGGAGCCGTGACGGGTGGTACTGGAGCTTTCCTTGACCCAAAGCCGCGCCGCTTTTTGAGACGACACGCCGCTTTTCGGCGAAAAAATCGATAACCCACGGAATCGCGACCGGTGGTAGTGGAGCCTTCCTTGAGCGGAAGCTGCGTTCTGAGTGTCACTATAGCGGGTAGCGCCGGGCCAGGCAATGGCGGTCGATATTGTCACGGGTCACGTTAGTCAGGTAGGGTTTTCTCTCCAGAAGTGGTTGTATCCCAAAAAAAAAAAAAAAAAAAAAAAAGATCCGCCCGAGAGCAGACTCGAAGAAGTCTTCGGCTTCTTCAAGAAGTTCCACCTACTGCTAGATCCCAAGAGGGAGGAACGAGGCGACCTTAAAGTCGACTCGGAAAAAAAGTCAGCGCGCAGCGAGAAGGGAGGCGTCAGTCCGACCTAGAAAGGTCCTTCAACTTCCGCCTACACCCAACGGGGTGGAACCGCCGCCGGCAATCGCGGCTGATGCAACGAGGGCGGACGCGCAAAGCAGGAGAACATTCGCTGGGAAGCGGCGGTGCTGCTGCTGTGGTAAGCAGAGGAGCGAGCGGAAGAGGCGAGGCGAAACCGCGGTTAGCATGCGCGTTAGAAGCCGCACGTATTGGATCTCGTCAGAGCATGGAAATGCGGAAAGCTCTCTTCCTCCTCCACACACCCTCCAGGGAACCCAAGAGTCGAGAAAACCGAGCGAGAGGGTTTCAGAAGAGCGAGCATCACGCACGAATACCTGAACTGAAAACCTCCCAAATATCCACTCATCGATCGTCGTGCTTCTCACATGCTGCCACACTATCTCAAGCGCACAACCAGCGACCGCACGAGATGAGAAACCCGCCAAATGCTGGCAGAGACTCATGTGAGCGAAGTGAGCGAGAGATGGTGGGAGGAATTGGACCGGAGTGGAGGTTACCTGGTCGGTGTACTCGAACAAGACACAATCAAGGCAACATTTGCACAGTAGAGTACAACGAACGTGGGTTCCAAACCTCCTTATTTGTTGTTCCGCCTTATTTTCAATGCCGTTATCTTCAACACCTGGGGTAAACACTCTAGGTCAGGCTAGGTCATGAGAGTAGTTCATGTAGACTAAAAATCAGCGGGTGGATAGATGCGTATACCCCACGTGACCTAACTGCAAGTAGCAACTTCGTCATTGCCAAAGCGCCCCTTCAATCGGCTCGATAAGTGCGAGTTTTATTGGTCTGGGTTGCCTTCCGTATTTTCTGATGTCCCTGCAATCTCTGGGTGTCCGTATCACTAGACAGAAAAGTACTTAGGGTCTCTTTAAAAACGCGGTCGGGGCTTCGAAAATATGGAGGACTAGGTTGGGTAGATTACGAGCCAATAGGATGTTCTTATCCTGGGCAGACAACTATTTTAGGGGGTTCCAGTGGGTTGCAAGTCGGTTACAGTATCTAAACTGGTTTGGTGCTCACGTTCTGGGGTGCAGTTTGACAGATCGGTTGAAAGGCAAGGGAGGTTCGGGAAACTCGGCAGCAAACATAGGCAGGTATGGACCAATGGTTGAGGTTCGGGGATGGAGGGAATCGGATTTAACTTTTGCGCGGAACTGCTTGGCCTGGAAGAAGGTGGGTGGCTGCTGGCGGGTGCGGCGGTGGAAGTGAAAGTGTGAAGCAGCGTGAACGCCGGCAATGCAAGCAGTGCAGCACCACAGCACCACCTTTGGAAGGAAGGAGTACTGCACACGAAAGTGGTTCGGGCACCTGAACAGTTGTTCGCGCAGCACGAGCCTCGCAGCGCTCTCCAATTGTTCGCGCAGTTCCCGTTGTATTCTTCGCACAGATTGTGTTACTTTTGCTTCGATAGTGCAATATTTTCTATCCGAATATAGACTTCTGAGTTTCGTTTCCTTATCTCGTGTTAAATTCATCCAAACACATTTCAGCAAACTGAACCCTAAATTTGTCTGCACCATACCCGACGCTGCCGTTGGGTTCGCGATTAAAGCCCGATTCCCAAATTGCGGGCCGCGCGGGTCAAGCTTTTAAAACTTGACGAACTAGTGTTTTCAAGGTTTGAAGAAAAGCGTGCCTGCAATTTGGGACTTTTGGGAACTGAACCAACCCCCAGGGCGAAATACGAGGGCGGGCTGGGTTTGGCGAAAAAAACGAAAAAAGCGAAATCGGAATCTTTCGCCAAAACCCTCACCACAAAAACCCCCTCGCGTCAACCTTTTAAAACTTGTGCAATTTGGGCTGCCGGCTTTAATTTGTGACCCTTCGAATACCGCTGCGTCCTTAGTAGTCTCCGAAGGGAGTATGCGAGAGCAGGCTTTATTGCCTGATGTTAGAGGGTCTCCGAAGGTGACCAGCGGCAGCAGCAGCTGCAGCAGCAGTAACCTCACACCTTCCGCCTTTTTCTTGCCATCTCTCTTCAGCTGACACATCACCCCCTGGGATGTCGAACCAGCTCCATCACCAACCGCAGAAGGATTGGCAGCAGGAGCAGCATCGGGAGGATCAGCTACTGTCGCAACAATGGCGACATCACGAAGACACGATCCCGCAGTCGGTCCCGGCGGTTTCACACATCGAAACGCTTTCTTTGTATCGCCTTTGTCGCGAGAGAATCCAAGGAGCAAGCAGACCCAGCGTAGCGGACGGTCCAGGGGTTTCTGAAAATGCACCTTCTCCTCTGGTTGCATCTGGACCGTTGATCTCGCACTCGTCCCGTCATCCAACGGGTCGGCAGCTCTTGCACATGCCGTCAGCAGTCTCTGCAGGGATAGCATCAACGCCAGCGCAAGCGCCGGCAACGGGAGGAACAGAAACAGAAACATCAGAAACAGAAACCGCAGGAGGAATTTTAGCAGGAGACGAATCCACAGCTGCAAAACGAGGGTTAGGAGTGGAGCGAGGTGAAGGTGAAACAGTGGAGGGGGACGCACTGCGAATCACGGGTGCTGAAGCTGAGAGAGAATCGCAAAGAGAATCATCGCCTCTTTTTCAGTTACACCGAGTCTCTTTTGCACGTGGGGGGGACGTGGAGCCTAGTGGGGAGCTGGAAAGATGGCTGCAGAAGAGACAGGAAAGTCAACAGAGTCAACAAAGTCAACGACAGGGTCAAGAACGGATGGGGAGTCAACATTGTCAGAGACCGGACAGGAGGGCTTGCGAGGACGGGGAAGAGGAAGGGGAGAAGGAAGCGAGGGTGGTGAATGAGAAGGAAGAAGAGCAGGGGTTGGAGAAGCGGGAGGTTGATGAGGAGCGGGAGAGAGTGAACAAGAGGAGGAGAGAGCGCAATGAGCAGTGTGAACAAGATGACGGACAGGGAGAGGTAGATGGGTCAGCATGGGAATCATGCCCTTCTCCAGAGCAGCTGCTGCGCTCGCATGTTCAAAGATTCAAGTCCATCCGCAGAAGGTGGGTGGCCTGTGATGATGCGCATGAATCCCATTCGCATCCGTCGCATTGTTCATATGTTGAAGTATTGAAGTCCATTTGTAGGAATTGGATGCTTCGTCCACACTGTGTGAGCTCGTGACGTTGTCAGTAGTTGTCTATCCGCCTCTCATCCAATCGTGTCGCACGCTGTGAGCCCACATATCCCCCCTCCCGCTCCTCTCCCCCCCTCCCCTCTTCCTCCTGCTCCTCCCCCTCCCTCTCCCTTTTGGCTGATACAACCTTATATGCAAGCCACTATCTTCTCCTCCCTCCAGGATTTGGTTAATATTCTCTGATTTTCGGTCTCCGCCCTTCCCCTCCTCTTACCCAGGAAAATGTAACAGTATCAATTCGCTTTAGTTTCTTTTTTTTTTTCTTTTTTTTTCTTCCCTTCTCTTTTCTCGTCTGTTCCTTTTTCTCCTCTCTTGTTGCAGTTATCAAGAGGAGTTTATTGGCACAGCCAGGAAATTTTTGAAACAACTAGAAGATATATTGATTCCATCAGTAGGCCATGCACGATTTCCGTCTCCCGTCCATTGACAACTCGTATATTATGCGCCGACTAGGGATAGCCAGCCACTTAAAGTAGGGCGCAAGAGCAAGGGCAGTTATCTTGTCTAGATTTTAAATCAATCGTATGCTGTTCGTCGAGTAGTCATAGCCAGCCATTGGGGATGGTATAGACTAGGGAAAACTAGAAACTCCGAGCATAGTGCACAATTGTTTTCTGATTGTTACCATAGCAAACAAGAATTTTAGCTTCAATTTGAGAGTTAAGGTGTAGCAATCAGGAACTTACAACACGCCAAGATTTGGCTTGTGGTACGGCTGGAAGTGCAGTTCGCAACGGCAGAACAATTCCAACAGTCGTTTGCAATTCAATCCAAATCTTTACTAGCACTGTGCGCATACAGACAAGATTTCGTGGAGAATGCTGCTGGCTTTCAGACAAACAATATCGTTACAGGTCAGAGTTTGCGCCCCCAGTTTGCATTGCATCAGCCAGCATGAATGACCTTGGCAAAGAAGCTGTCCATTGTTTCAAGGAACAAAGATGGAGGCTGTTTTTGTTCCGCATGCCCTAACAGCAGTGCTGACGAGACCACCGGGCCGGAGTGCGGTGCAGTGCACCCGGTTTTTCGCCATTGTAAATTTCGCCATACTGAATTCCCTGTTACTAGAAACTCGCCCCGAAAGGAAGCGTGCTATCACCCGCGTTATAGTGAACTTTGAGCCAGCGCGGTCCAGTGTGTTGGACTACGTTTTTCAAAGGTCCCTGGTCAGTTTGGAATGGCTGGCTAGGTTGTATAGGAAAAGTGTATTTTGAGAACCTCCCCTCACACAGCCGCCTGCTAGGGACGGTTGACTGGTTTCGGTAATGGAAAATTTCCGAATACTGCCAAGTAACAGAAGCGTTCTTACGCGGTTCAGTCTAACGAAAAACAGGGTGTACATTGTACTGTACACAACACCATTCAGATTGAGATGAGAAGCTTGCAGCGCCTGCTCGGCCCCAACGCTGATGGCGGATCATACATGTTCGTTTAGAGTTTGTTAAGCACGGTTCAGAACGTTAAAATACGATAACAGACGATGATTTATTTCCACCGCTTTGGACCATTGCGTACCAAACAGAATCCTACAGACCAGAGCCCTGAAGGAAATGATGGCTTGTGCGAGTCTGCCGGTGAACGTGATCCGAACAGAATTGACAATGGATGGATGGGATGGATTTTGCGAGGACCACGCATTTTCGACCACTTGGTTTGTCAAACCCCGACGGACCGAGCCAAACCCGTACAGTAGAAGGGCTTTCGTGTCCACCAAACAAACAAGTGGAGTGGATGTCTTCGATTCGAAATTCAAATGTGTTGGGTTTGGTTTGGGATATCAGATCCGAAACTACCGCTGTACAGTACGAACTGTACTTTGAAAACGTTTCACCGCCTAGTACCGCTAATCACCTTTACACAACACAGCCTAGACGGAACGGAGCCACCTACCAAACGGCATGACTAGCAAACCTACAAATCATCAAATTGTCAAGGCAAGAAAGAAATGTGTCATACGTACTGTACACGTGCCTTGGGGTTGTCATGTCATGTCGTGCCTCGGAAATGTCATGCCTATGGTTTGTCATCGTCGTCGTCACCCGCAAGCAATGGCTTCGGTTCGGAGGAATTGTTATCACTCATTCACGTTCTTCCACAAGCATCAAACCTGAGATTTGTTGCGCATCACCTTCACCCAGTTCATGCCATCTGTCGCCCACGCTATGCTCGTGAGCGACAACTACCCCGCCAAGTCATTCTGGACAAACCCTACGGCGTCAATTATACAGCATAGGCCTAAGGGGGCCTTATACGATATCATCTTCAGGGGAACTCGTTCCGCTATGGTTCGCACCGCGCTAGGAATCAAGACGAATTTTCTTTTCTTTTTTTTCTCTCCTTTTTGGTAACCCTGAAGGCGCCGTCTTCTTCATCCAATTGGACTTTGAGTGTTCTTAGCCGACTATGCTACAACCAGAGCTTCTTCTGGGGAGTTTGAGTGACCCTGGTGTTTGCCAGTTTGTTGGCCTTTGAGTGACCACCTGAAGCGTTCTTTCGCACAACCGGGCTACTAAACGAAGCCGCTTTTCCCGCCGCGCTATGGTCAGCGCCACAGGAGCGACAATCGCCCTTCGAGATCTCAAAACGCCGCCATCCCAGGAGCCGTTCCGCAACGGCGGGGCAAATTTGAACTTCACGGGAAGTGCCGCGTTTGACGGCGGGTACCGCGGCACGTACGCTTCAGGGGAAGCGTATTTGTCTACTAAGAGTAGCCTGCCGTTGGGGTGTAGTAGAGAACAAGAGGCCTTGCTCATGTTTCACAACCATCAACAGCCGCCGCCGCCGCTGCCGGCTGTGCATCCGCCACAGCCACATGTCAACACAGCGCAACAGGAAATCTCTTCGCAGAACCAGTTAAGGAGCCTCCTATTCACGGCGGCGGCGGGGGCAGCGGCGTCCGCCGTTCCGCCGGTTCCGCCAGCGGTTGGCGGAAGCCGCGCAGGCCTTCCTTTTTTTTCCCCTGTCGCGAGCGTAGCTGCTGCTTCCGGGTCGCCAGCTGCCTACGACGGCGCGGCGCCGGCTGGCGGCGGCGGATTTGGCGGAATTTTCGGCGGCGTCCCGGCGGCGGCGGCGACGCCGCCCCTGTGGAAAGCCCTCACAACTGGCGGCGTTTCCAGTGCAACAGTCGGTAGATCTGCAGGGAAGGGAAGCTCGGAAGATTTGCGGGGGGGATGGGGCGGAGCGGAGGATGGGGGATACGGGGACGGGTACGGGGACGGGGGCGGGGACGGGGACGGGGAGGGGGAGGGGGAGGCAGAGGGGCAGCAGCAGAAAGCGAGCACGAATGCCAAAGGGCAATGGACTCCGGTGAGAAGGGGTGGAATGTGGTGAGGCGAGGTTTTGAGTGGTGCACGGACAGATTAACCTTCTGTAGGAGCGGGTGGATTGAATTAGGGCGGAAGAGCGCAGTGGGGAGGAAATGTGGTGAAAGTGAGTGGGACGTGGTGAGGGAACGGGATGTAATAGGCATGTTATGAGAACTTGAGGTTGCGCCATAAACAGAAACTGAGGGGGAATGGGGTGCAGTAGGGAGAGTGTGAGCAGTGTGAGAAGGTGAGAGTGAATAGTAGAGTCTGTGAGGGGTGAGCGTGAGAGGGACTCTCTGAAGAGAGAGGGATCTGAAGAGAGAGGGATCTGAAGAGAGAGGGATCTGAGAGGGATCATAAGGTGTTTGAGAGGGAGGGTTAGAAGAGAGTTCGCGAGAGAGAAAATATGAGAGAAAGAGCGTTAGTCAGTCCGTGAACCTTTTAACCTCAAAGCCTTACTTTATTTTACCCACTAGACATCTCCATTAGGAGGAAAAATATGCGGCAGCCTCGGTAACTGAGCCCCGGGCCTGAGCAATTGACAGACAAATGTTTTACGTCGACTCAAAACACGGGCCTGAGCAATTGACACACAAATGTTTTGAGTCGACTCAAAACACGGGCCTGAGCAATTGACAGACAAATGTTTTGAGTCGACTCAAAACACGGGCCTGAGCAATTGACAGACAAATGTTTTGAGTCGACTCAAAACACGGGCCTGAGCAATTGACAGACAAATGTTTTGAGTCGACTCAAAACACGGGCCTGAGCAATTGACAGACAATTGTTTTGAGTCGACTCAAAACACGGGCCTGAGCAATTGACAGACAAATGTTTTGAGTCAACTCAAAACACGGGCCTGAGCAATTGACAGGCGATTGTTTTGAGTCGACTCAAAACACGGGCCTGAGCAATTGCCAGACAATTTTTTTGAGTCGACTCAAAACACGGGCCTGAGCGATTGACAGACAATTGTTTTGGAGTCGACTCAAAACACGGGCCTGAGCAATTGACAGACGAATGAACCTCTTTCCGTCAAACCCTAACCCCGTCGAGTCGAACTATGCATTGGAGAGAGGCGGAGCCAACTTGGCCGCCAACTTGGAGAGAAGTGGACGGCCGTAGCAGCGCCTAGGTCCACCCTTTTGTCTCTCCGCATTTACTTCGAAATCCATCCCTCCACCACAGGAGGAGGACACACTGTTGCGAGGTGACTTTCGAGTCGACTCAAAAGTCACCTCGTGAAATCCATTATGCACCTCATCCCTCCACCACAGGAGGAGGACACACTGTTGCGTCAGCTGCTGGAGATGGGCGGAGCCAAGGGGTGGACGGCCATAGCAGCGTGGACAATCCACTCTTTTGTTTCCCCGCATTTATAGCCCACAATCCATCAATGTGTTGCATCCATTCATCGATCTCAGGATGAGGACGCTCTGTTGCGGCAGCTGGTGGAGAGGGGCGGAGCCAAGGGATGGACGGCCATAGCAGCGATAAAAACAGCTCAGCTCTCCTCACAAACCCTTCGCACAAACCCTTCAATCATCCATGCATCGATCTCAGGAGGAGGACGCTCTGTTGCGCCAGCTGGTGGAGAGGGGCGGAGCCAAGGGATGGACGGCCATAGCAGCGATAAAAACAGCTCAGCTCTCCTCACAAACCCTTCGCACAAACCCTTCAATCATCCATGCATCCACCTCAGGAGGAGGATGCTCTGCTGCGTCAGCTGGTGGAGAGGGGCGGAGCCAAGGGGTGGACGGCCATAGCAGCGCATCTGAATGGGCGCGCGGGGAAGCAGTGCCGCGAGCGGTGGCACAACCATCTCAAGAGGGGCATAAAGAAGGTGATTATAACGAGGAGAACGGGGTGATGAGGGTGATGTTAACGGGATTGAATGGAGGGTTGAGCCCAAGGGATGGACGGGGGGGGGAACCAGGGCCCAAGGCCCCAAGGGAGCCATACTAGAAGCTTCCTTGAATGGGCGCGGGGGGAAAGTAGCACCGGGGATGGTGGCTCCGAGAATCGCGCAAAGAGTCATGATTTACAACCTGCTGAGAATCAACCTTATAAGAGCGGAAATCAACAGCCTGCTGCTAATGGAACTCATTATCCCTCTCTTGGTTTGTCTCCTTGCCTTTTCTTCCCTTTCTTTCTTTCCCTGTTGTTTCGTCCTTTTTCTCACAACGCGCCGATCACAGGAGGCGTGGACGGAGGAGGAAGAGCGAGCTTTCGTGGAGGCACACAAGCGGCTGGGCAACAGATGGGCTGAGATCGCAAGACTGCTCCCGGGAAGAACAGACAACAGCGTGAAGAATCACTGGAACTCCACCGCCCGGCGGAAGGAGGAGATGGGGCGAGGCGGGGCGGAGGGCAAGGGGAACGGAAGGCCGGGCAGTGCCGGGAGTGTTGGCAGTGCTGGGAGTGCTGGGAGTGCGGGTGGTGGTGGGAGTGTGGGCAGGGGGGGGTATAGTGATCGGTCGAACGTGCTCCTGCGGTATATCCAGTCGTTGAAGCAGGGGGGACGGAACGAGAGCGGAGCGGGGGAGAGCAGAGGAGGGGAGAGCAGAGGAGGGGAGAGCAGAGGAGGGGAGAGCAGAGGAGGGGAGAGCAGAGGAGGGGAGAGCAGAGGGGGGGAGAGCAGAGGAGGGGAGAGCAGAGGAGGGGAGAGCAGAGGAGGGGAGAGCAGAGGGGGGGAGGTGGGGAGCAGAGAGAAGGAGCAGCAGAGCAGAGGGGGGAGGAGCGAGAGCAAAAACGGAGAGAGGGAGAGGGGCGATGGGGAAGAGGGCGATGGGGAAAGCAGAAGCGCTGGTAAAGGAAGCAAGGAGGGGAGAGAGGAGGGGAAAAGGCGGGGAGCAGGAGAGCGAGTGGGGGAAGTGAGAAGAATGGAGGAAGGAGGTATGACCTCTTTTGAGATTTCTCAAAAGCCTACTGGAGCCATGGAGGACTTTAAAATCCCTCAGATACAGGCTTTTGAAATTTTCCGAACCCCAACTGGAGGCATGGAGGTGGATGGGTATGGGGGTGGGGGATTGGAGCATAAGCGAAGGGATTTTAGGGCACAGCCACTTTCGCTACAGCCGGCAATGCTACAGCCGGACATACTACAAGGAGCAACACTGCAGCAGCAAGCTATGCTACAGCCAGCAGTGATACAGCCAGCAGTGCTACAGCAAGAAATGCTACAGCCGGCAGCGCTACAGCCAGCCATACAACAAGCAACCGCCTTGCCGTCTCAGATTCCTACTGTGAAGATGGAAATAAGGGGGGAAGAGAAAGTGGAGAAGCGAGAAGAGGCGGAAGAGGGAGAGGAGAGAGCATGCAACGATGTGGAATGGAGACTGAAGGGGATGCACCTGGGTTTGTCAGCATCGGTACCAGCAGCAGCAGAACGAGCAGCAGCAACAGCAGCAACAGCAGCAACACCAGCAGCAGCAGCAGCAGCAGCAGCGGCAGCAGCAGCAGCCAACACCCCGTTCCCGCATTTTCCTCCACCTTCTCACCAACCCCAGCATCCTTACAGCTACCAACTAAACGGGAATGCGTTCCCCCATTCCTCCTCACCCCTTCATCCCTCTTCACTCCTTCCTCCCTCCTCCCTCCTTCCTCCCTCCTCACCTCTTCCTCCTCATGCATCCCCTCCCTCCACTTTAACTCCCGCTCCACTCCTCCCACTGGCCCAGCATTCAACAATACACCAATCCACTAACTACAATCATTCCCCCGCACCACACTCCCCTCCTCCTGCTCTCTCTCTCTCCCTCCCCCACACTGCCCCTAGTCCCTCTCAACCTCGCCAGCCATCCCCCCCGTTTCCCCCACCGTCTAACCCTCACGTCCCCTCATCCTCGTTCTCACTCTCCCCTTTTGTGTCGCCTCAGAAGTCAACTTTCCCTCGACCATCTAACCCTGACCTCCCACTACCTTCTTCATTCTCACTCTCTCCCTTAAACCCTACTCGAAAGTCACCCCCGCATCCCCCACCGTCTAACTCTCACCTCCCCTTATCTCATCCACTCTCACTCGCCTCCTTTCAGCCGACTCAAAATTCATCCCCACTCCCCCCACCGTCTAACTCTCACCTCCATTCACTCTCACTGTCCTCCTTTGAGCAGACTCAAAAGGCACCTTCTCCTGAGCCATCCGTCCCTCACCTTCCCCCATCCACTCTCTCACTCTCTCTTTTCGAACCCACACATACCCCAGCTTTCTCTCCCTCGTTACGAGGAGAGCAAGTGTACATAACACCAAAACAGGAGCCAACACAAGAGGCATATCTTGAGAATCCTCAAACTGCGGCAACACAAATGCCATGTCTTGAAGTCTCTCGGAATACACCTTGTCTTGCGGAGGCTCCAGTTGCCGCACGAGCATCGCAGGAGGAAACAAGAGAGGCGTGCTTTAATGATCCTCGAAGCACGCCTTCAGCAACAACTCGAGAGGTGGGACCTGCAACAACCCGGAAGGCACCTTTCGAGAATCCTCGGAATCCTCAGAATTCCCACATTTCTCAGAATCTTCAGAATGTGTCTGCAACAGCTCGGGAGGCAACACACAAAGCCCACAACCGCTCGTTGTTGGCCTCACGGCTGATGCGATCGCTGGGAGCAAAGAGGGCCAGGAGACAGAGTGAAGGAGGGGTGGAGCAGAGGCAGAGGGAAGGAGAAGGGTTGGGGATGGAGCATGGGCATATGGAAGGAGGGTTTGAGCAGAGGCAGAGGGACGGAGAAGGGTTGGGGATGGAGCATGGGCATATGGAAGGAGGGTTTGAGCAGAGGCAGCAGCAACAGCAGCTGCACCAGCAACAGCAACAAAGGGCAGCAGAGGCATATCCTGACGGCCATTCTTCCCAGGACATCCCAACTAATCCCCCAGACAGCAGTCTCCCCAGTTCTTCTCAACACATTCTAGCTGACCCGCAACCTGCCCCGAAAAAGCGGTGCCTGCTTCAACGGAGTGTGGCTGGGCCGTTACCCGGTGCTCCTGTAGCTGCTGTGGACGGCACGTTCCTGCTGGTCGGCGAACTGAGCCTCACCCTTTCGTCCTCTTGCCTGATGCCGATTTCTGCCGGACATGAGATCTTGGGAGACGATCCTGTGAAGTTTCAAGAGGCACCATTGATGGTTGGAACAGGGAGGAGAGAGTGGATGAAGGGAGAGATTGAGGGCGGGGGAATGGAAGAAGGGAGGGATTGAGGGGGAGAGATTGGAAGAAGGGAGAGGAAGAGGTGGAGAGACTGAAATAGGGAGGGACGAGAGGGTGAGGAAGTGAGTGGAGTAGGGAAGGAGTAAGAAGGAAAGCTGAGAGGATGAATCATTCAGTGAGCAAGTCAGGGGGTCATAAGGTTACAGGCACGAAGCCGTGGGTGCATAATATGGAAGTCCATTCGAGGCTTTATACAGTCGTGATAGATTTAGATACCAGTGTGCAGGTCACGGGGCTCTGGAATAAATAGCGCCTGGCACCATACTAAGCCTGTGCCTTGTGGTTACGCCATTTGCCACTGTATATTCACGGCCCTTCTGCTGAAACTGTTTGATACTTCGAGCTTGCAGCGACTGTTTGCGAGAAATACCCAAGTCAGTAACAGATTCTTCATATATCGTGCAGGATCGCGGAGCCTTAGTTTGCGCGTTTCCGCGAGCTGCGAAATCTAGCGAGGTGAATCCGTTCATGCGGAAGGGTGTCCAGCTACACGCGGGAGCAAGTGCCGTTTTCGGCAATCCCTAGATGCGGCTCGTCGGCAGGCCTTCTTGAGGTTGACGTGATACGTGTAGAGCATATTCTCGTCTCTGTCAGACAGAATCCAGTAGCCTAACCAACACTCCATTGCAACGCATCAGGTGACTGGATTCACATTACCTTGTTAGCAGATAAGATCATACCTCTTTTCCATCAAACCAACCCAGATTCTAAGTGCCAGCATTGAACATTTCTAGAATCTAGTTAGTGCGAAAGACGGTTCGTCAGACGACTGCTTGCAACGCTTTACCATTGAATGCGTTTTCTGCGTAAAAGACGTTAATAACACTGGTAGACTTGCTTCACGCAGACATGTTCTTCCCACGTTTTGCGGCACTGAATGAGTGCTGATGGACGTTTTGCTTCCCAATGCAGCCAGCCAACAACCAGAAATAATCGGATCCGACCTTGTTGATACGCTAAAACTCCCAGGGAAACTCGGTTTCCTGTTTAACAATAACCCGTCAGCTCGGAAGCCTCCTTTGCTGTCAAGCTGATCCGGAGTCCAGATTACGCGTGGTGTATGCTCACTATGTCCGAAAGCATTTTTATCACTATGTTCGCTGAACCCGAGAACTCGTAGCTGCGTCGGCGATTGTCGCTAGTCCGTATGGTCCGAGTGACGGTGGTTCGCATTTAGCCGCGCGCACTGCGGACGTGGTCGGCTCAGGGGTAGTATTTCGCAACCTCACAAGCCGTCGTAGCCAGATATAAGCATCCGTTACAGTACATTGACGTTTTGAGAGGTTGGGAAAACTTATTCGTAAGTACATTTGACTTATTCAAGCCAGGAAATATGGTCCGTCACAGTACGATCGCGGCTCGTGTGACCATTACCGTCCTCCGCGTGACCATTGCGATCCCTCTACTTCTCATGACCGTTGCGCTCTTCGCACTACTCGTGAGAGCGGAGGATCCGGCTCTTCTCTCCGAGGAAGATCCGTTTTCGGAAGCTGTCATAAACTTGTACCAGGTATGCTTGTATCGCGGATCTGCGTCACAGCCTGAAGCAAGCATTTATGAACAAAGAATAATTCGCACCCTCGGTCAGCCCAAAGTATATCTTCTCTGTCAGTCCCCTGTTCCCCTTCCCAACCGACTTACCATTTCCCCCCTCCCTCCTTTTCCCCCACCCCAACCAACTCGCTCATACTTCCTAAGGAGAAAGAGCCTCCGAGAAGGAGTCCTCTTTCGCACCCCCCGTTTGATGTAGAAACAGCGCATCCGGGCTGTAGGCGGAAATTACTTTACCGCCGACCTCTATCTCTTTTCCCCTGATGTTCTCCTCCTCACTATTCCTCTGCCACTTGTCCCCACGGACTTTCCCACCCCTCCGCCTCCCTCTCCCAACCAGCACTGGGACAGCGCCTATGGTTTGCAGGCGGAGAATACATTCCCCCCATCCGCTATCTCGCTTCCCCCGGACGTCCCCCTTGCGCCCCACCTGGAGGACTGTGAGGCGCGCACAGCCTTCCGCCTCTCCACGGAGAAATGGGGGAAGGGGGGGGAACCGCCCTACTGGGCTGTGCCAAACCCTGCATGCGGCAACGTGCCCCAACCCCCCTGGGTGAGCCCCAAACCCTCTGGGTGAGTCCCGACCCTCTGGGTGAGGAACTGAAGTTATATCTTTCCCAGTGCTGTGCTGCAGTTGTGATATTGAGTGTGCTGCGCCTACAAAATGGGATAGATTTCTCTGTTACAAGCGTTTTACAGCCATAGTGCATTTTCCCAGAACTGCTGAAAGGACACTGTGGAGCATTCGGATGAGCTGTATGTCATCAGTATACGCCACCATCCCGTGCTACGACGAGTGGATCGTATAACGCCAACCTAGCAACACGGTCTATGGGGTTATTATAACGACGACGATTATGTGTATTTTACTCCTCTGCCCTGCCCACCGCTCCTCTGCCCTGCCCACCGCTCCTCTGCCCTGCCCACCGCTCCTCTGCTCTGCCCACCGCTCCTCTGCTCTGCCCACCGCTCCTCTGCCCTGCCCACCACCCCTCCTGCAGATCCGAGGCTCCGATGCTGCCAACCTGGCAGCCACCCGGCAAGCACAAACTGACATATGGCGACAGCAGTTCCCGGCCAAGCAGTGCAAGGGGCGGCGGTTGATGCTGGTGGAGTGGCTGAGCATGGGGTGGCACGGGATAGGGTCGCAGCTGCACGTGATGGGCGCTGTGCTGAGTGCCGCGTTGGTGCACAACAGGACTCTCGTGCTCATGCCCGGCACTCTGCCCCAGGCGAACCATGAGGAATGCGAGAGTGAGTGGGGGAGTGAGTGAGGGAGCGAGCTAGTTAGCCATTCTATCACTCAGTCAGGACGTAGAGTGAGTGATGGGTGAATGAGTGAGTGAGTCAGTCAGCGGGTGAATTAGTGCGTGAGGTAGTGAGCGTAGTGTGGCATGGGGTAGGGTTAGGCTGACCAAGTGGAACACTAGAAAGATTGGCTTGTGAGGCTGAGTAGGCATGAGACACACACAAGCACCCCCCTCCCCTACTCTCTCACAAACATACTTATCCACCCTCTGACTTGTGTTGCATTTCCTGTGTTCCACCTCTCGTTTGACTTCTCGTAGAGCTGGGCCACCGAGGTTCCCTCTACTTCTTCCGGTTCTCGTCCAAGCAGTGTGAGGAGATCGCTGTCAAGGCGCACCCACATGCGCACACACCCGCACGCACACACCCGCATGCACACGTGTCTGACTCGTATTGCGCGTGTGTTCCTCTTGCCATTTGCCTTGTCTCAGAGCTGGGCCACCGGGGGTCGCTGGACTGCTACTTCTTCCGGTTCTCATCTAAGGAGTGTGAGGAGATTGCTGTCAAGGCGCATCAGGCCTGGAAGGATGCTGAGGAGAGGAAGCAGCGAGCTGCTGCCGAGGAAAAGGAGAGGGAAGAGCAAGCTGCTGCCGAGGAAAAGGAGAGGGAAGAGCAAGCTGCTGCCGAGGAAAAGGAGAGGGAAGAAAGGGAGAAGGGAGAGGAGCAAGGAGGTGGAGGAGGCGGTGGCAAGGGAGGAGAGGGAGATTCAAAGGAGGAGGGAGGGGGGCAAGTTAGGAATGGTGGTGGGAGGAGGCTCCTGCAAGCAGCTATGAATACTGGGAATGCTGACGTTTCTGGTTTTGATAATGATACAAATGATGGTGCTGGTGGTACTGGTGATCATAACGAGGAGTCTGAAGGAAACGTGACGAACGAGGATGTGACAAAGGAGGAAGTGATTGTAGCAGAGCCGTGTGACGGTGTGTGGTGTCTGGGCTCGGATGCTCTGGTGATCTTCCCAGCAACGCCAGGGTTTGGAGTGGATGGAGGGTCCAACTTCATCTCCCAGCCCAATGTGTCCGCTGCAGAGTGAGTGACGGTAACACATGCGCAGCTGTGTGATTGTTACAAGTTCGTTTGACCAGGAGAGGTCTCTGGGCTCGGATGCTCTATTGATCTTCCCAGCAACGCCAGGGTTTGGAGTGGATGGAGGGTCCAACTTCATCTCCCAGCCCAATGTGTCCGCTGCAGAGTGAGTGACGGTAACACATGCGCAGCTGTGTGATTGTTACAAAGTCGTTTGACCAGGAGAGGTCTCTGGGCTCGGATGCTCTGTTGATCTTCCCAGCAACGCCAGGGTTTGGAGTGGATGGAGGGTCCAACTTCGTCTCCCAGCTAAACGTGTCCGCTGCAGAGTGAGTGACGCATGTGCGATGATGCATGTGCAACTGTGTGACTATAACGAGTCCCTGTGATCTTCCCAGCGACCCAGAGGGTTTGGTGTGGATGGAGGGTCGGTTTTCATCTCTCAGCTCAACGCACCTGCTGCAGAATAAGTGAGTCGAGAAGGTCTGGCAAGGCATAACTGAACTGCTGTCTTTCCAACGAGATGGTGGGGCACATAAGCACACTCACACGCACCAAGGGTCCATCCCACGTATCTGAGCCGCCCCCTTTCTCGCATCTCCCCCTCCTCGCCTCAACCCCTCCTCGTGACACCCATTTCTCTTTGGTTTGATGTGCAGGCTCTGGGGAAAGGCGTTTCTGAAGAGTCCTTTGCCCAACGGGGTGATAGGGCATATGAATACAGGGTTTAGGGTTGCAGGGGCCCATCCCTCACTCCTATCCCATCCTCGCCTCTTCCCATCCTCCCTTTTCCGCTCTGCAGGCTCTGGGGCAAGGCGTAATTGAAGAGCCCATTGCCCAACGAGGTGATGGGGCGTATGAGCGAGCACTCCAAGTACCTCAAGAAGGTGAGGTGCCTTTTGAGTCTGCTCAATGCGCGGTGCCTTTTAGCTGAGCTTAAATTGAGGTGACTTGTAAGTCCGCGTGAACCGAGGTGACTTGTGTGTGTGTTGGCTCAATACGAGGTGACTTTCTGGTTGACTCAACATGAGGTGCACTGGTGGAGGGCGCAAGCGACTTGTGAGACGACTCAAACCCGAGTCATGCTGTACTGCCCTTCACCCTCTGTGCTGTCGACAAAACCTCTCTCTTTTCTCCCACCCTCCTCCCCTCTTTCTCCCCCTCCTTCCCCCTCTTCACCAGGGGCACTAGTGGCATGCGCAAGCAACGCACTTCATGCTTTGATTCGACTCAAAACACGACTCAAAACAAAGTTGACTCAAAAAAAGGGGCACTGGTGACATGCCCAAGCAACGCGCGCTTCATGCTGCGGTGGCTGTCGGCCTACCTGTGCCACATCATCAACCGCATCCCCTCCCTATTTCCCTCCCACGCCCTGCTCGTTCTGTCTCCCCTCCCCGTTCAACCGAAGGTGCACTGGTGGAGGGCACAGGCAACGCGCTTCATGCTTCGGTGGCCCTCCGCCTACCTGTGCCACATCATCAACCGCGAGCGCCACCACGTGTACGGCATGCACGTGGCCAGGCAGGTGCTGGCATCCCAGATGGACCAGAAAGGCTTGCTGGGAGAGTCCCGAGGGTTGGAGAACAAGCAGCCTGCTGAAGAGGTGGGAGGGTTTGGGGGAAGAGGCGGGCATTCTGAAGAGCGGCAGCTGCTGGGGTCGCAGGTGGAGCAAAGAAGCATGCTGGCAGAGTCGTGGGGGTTGACTTTTGAGTCGACTCAAAAGTCAAGAGGCGGGCATTCAGAAGAGCAGCAGCTGCTGGGGTCGCAGGTGAAGCAAAGAAGCATGCTGGCAGAGTCGTGGGGGTTGACTTTTGAGTCGACTCAAAAGTCAAGAGGCGGGCATTCAGAAGAGCAGCAGCTGCTGGGGTCGCAGGTGAAGCAAAGAAGCATGCTGGCAGAGTTGTGGGGGAGAGACAAGCCCTCTGGGTTACTTCAGAAAGCTTCGAAGCGTTTCATTGGGTCGGGAGGGAGGGAGGGTGGCTGGAGGGGGAGGGTGAAAAGGAGTGGGGTTGGGGAAGGGAGGGAGGGCGGTGATGTTCAAGAGAAGGCAGTTGGGAGGAGGATGAGGAGGAGGATGAGGAGGAGGAGGATGAGAGAGAGCGGGGTTGAGGGCGAGAAGGAAGTTGGCCGGTGGAGGGATTTTGAAGAGCAAGAGAAGCTTGATCTTGGGCCGTCTTCATCCTCCTCCTCTGCCTCTGAAGCGGCTCTACCTTCTCCTCCAGCATCTGCTGCATCTGGTGCCAAAGAAACCAACCAAGACCGAGGAAGTCTGGTTACCAACCAAGACCGAGGGGATAGAGTAACTAGCCAAAATCGGGAGGATGTGACGTTCTCCAGTGGGGCAGCACTGAGGCAGAGAGGCCCTGGTTTGGGGACAACTGCATGGCCTAAGCTGGGGTACCAGGGCTGCAGCTTAGGGAGTGCCACTGTAGCTTTTAATAGTAGCAGTAGCAGCAGAAGCAGAGGGTTAGGAGATTTGGAAGGGGAGCAGTATGGCTGGGATCCTTATCTTGCGAACTACGTAGGGGTGGGAGGGGACCCGTACGTCCCGCGGCCGATCATAAGCGTGCATGTGCGGCAGGGCGACAAGTCGTTTGAAATGCGGCTCTTCTCGTTCTACGCAGTCATGTTCATGGCTAACCGGGTGCGGCGGGAGAACCCTAGCATGCGATACGTGTGGCTCAGCACCGAGATGCAGGTGAGCAGGGGAGGGAGGGGGGCGACAAGTCATTTGAGATGCGGCTCTTCTCCTTCTACGCCCTCATGTTCATGGCTAACCGGGTGCGTGGGGGGGGGGGGGTTCCCCGCCGTGCGATACGTGTGGCTCAGCACAGAGATGCAGGTGAGCAGGGGAGGGAGGGGGGTGACAAGTCATTTGAGATGCGGCTCTTCTCGTTCTATGCCCTCATTTTCATGGCTAATCGGGAGCGGGAGGGGGGGGGTTCCCCGCCGTGCGATATGCTTGGCTCAGCACCGAGATGCAGGTGAGCAGGGGGGAGAGAGGGGCGACAAGTCATTTGAGATGCGGCTCTTCTCGTTCTATGCCCTCATGTTCATGGCTAATCGGGAGCGGGAGGGGGGGGTTCCCCGCCGTGCGATATGCTTGGCTCAGCACCGAGATGCAGGTGAGCAGGGGGGAGAGAGGGGCGACAAGTCATTTGAGATGCGGCTCTTCTCCTACGCCCTCATGTTCATGGCTAACCGGGTACGACGGGGGTTCCCCGTCGTGCGATACGCTTGGCTCAGCACCAAGATGCAGGTGAGGTGGGGGGGGGGGGGGAAGGGAGGTAACTGCAGGGTAGAGTGTGGGAAACATGCAGGTGAGGGGGGGATGTGTGTAGGCTGTTCTCCTTCTATGTCATCTTGTTCTTGGCCAACTGCGTGCGGCAAGGATTCCTCAGCGTGCAATACACTTGGCTCAGCACCGAGATGCAGGTGAGGAGGGGGCGAAAGGGGGCGCATAACATGAATGCACATGGTTGTGTGTCAACAACATTCCCAGGTGTGTGAAGATGTGTTTTCCTATGTGTTCCTTGTGGCTTGTGTGCAGAGTGTTGTGGATCAGTCGAACCGCTTCACAGACTGGACATTTTTCTACTCTGAGGTTCCAAGGCAAGGAGCTGGAACGAGAATGTCGGAATACACTGAAAAGTTTGGCCTGGCACGCACGGTGGGAATAAGCTTCGCAAACCTGCTTATCGCTTCAGAGTGCGATTTTTTCGTCGGTGTCCTGGCGTCGAACTGGAATAGGATGATTAATGAGCTCAAGAACACTAATGGACGCTTATACAGTGGGTACGTGTCGTTAAACAACGACGAGTGGTGATTTCGTTTCGCTTATTGCACTTGTTGTCATGCCATGCTTTACCATTTATTTGTTCATAATAACATTCAATTAAGTAGGAAGCTCACCAATTCCTCTGTTATGAGATGATGAATACTTACTGTACTAACCAATTCCTTCCTCGCACCGTACTAAAGCGAGTACAGCTTCTGCCAGCTTCTGACAGGTGCTTGATCGGTATTCAACGCTCCCTGTCTGTTGCAGGAAATGAAGTCGGCGGCGTTTTCGAGGTTCGCGATTCAGTCCCAATGGCCGTCAGTTGGACTCGGGAAGTCTCCAGAATCCTGCTCCTTTTCAGCTGCTAAACGCTCAACCCTTCGTGTTGATTTACGACACGAAGATCAATAATAGCTTGACTATCCAGCAGCTGGTTGCTCATACGTCTCGATTCTGAAGCTCGTGATATTTGTCAGTATCCAACAGCTGTTATCACTGGATATCATTTGCGAAGTTGTTACTGCGAGTTTGTATCGCTTCATTTCGCAGTAGCTTTTTGGTGCAATGAAAGCTTAGCTCAGAACAGGGTAGCCGCGTCATAAATCCTTCGAAGCGTCGCTCGTTCAGAACGTTACTTCTCACAAACACTTTCAGAGCGTCACTGCAGGATTCGTCGCGCGGCTTGACGTCCGGCGCAGCCAGGCGTAGCCGGCCGTCCAGGATTCGTGCAGCCGGGACTAGCCGGCCTTCCAGGATTGGTGCAGCCACGCGAGTAGCCGGTAGCTATGATTCCTCCGGCGGCCATGGATCCGGAGATGGTTCGCCTGGCGCAGGAGCAGATGAGCCGCATGTCGCCTCAAGACATTCAACGCATGCAGCAGGTGAGATGAGAATTGTGTGTGCGTGCTTTTAGTGGACTCAAAACACTCCAGTACGGGGGATGGTTCGCCTGGGGGGAATGGTTCGCCTGGCGCAGGAGCAGATGAGCCGCATGTCGCCTCAAGACATTCAACGCATGCAGCAGGTGGGATTCGTGTTTGTGCTTTCATTTGAACACACCTGTTTCTCGTTATAGGATGACGCGACGAGCTGGACTTGCGGTGAATAGGGCAGCTGTATAAAGCGCAGGTCGTTTCGAGGCTCCCCAGTGTCTTCTTATTCAGATGACGACGCCGGACATGACTCGGTGTGGCGACAAAGCAGATGGTCGCATTTCACCGAGTCATGTCCGGCGTCGTCCTCCTCCTCACATCCTCTCAGTTCCAACCCGTTCTCCCACTCCTCCCCCACCCCTCCCCCACTCCTCCCCCACCCCTCCCCCACTCCTCCCCACTCCAACCCCCCTCCTCCCTCGCTCCTCCCTCTTCCTCCACCCCCTCCCATGCAGATGATGACACCAGACATGATACGGCTGGCAACGGAGCAGATGGGGCGCATGTCACCGGAGCAATCTATTATTGAGTCCAAGTAGGCCCTCCCTCCCCAATCCCCTCCATGTACCCTCACGTTTATGCAGATGATGACGCCGGACATGATTCGGCTGGCAACGGAGCAGATGGGGCGCATGTCACCGGAGGACATGCGGCGGGCAGCCGAGCAGATGAAGCACCTCAGCCCGCAGCAAATCGCCTCCGCCATGGGCGCCGGTGCGGGTGCTGGCGGGGGGATCCCAGGGGCAGCGGGAGGAGGGGGAGGGGGGGTAGGAGGAGCAGTTGGGGGGTTGCCTGACGTGGCATCGTATATGAGCCAGAGGCAGCAGTATGAGCTAAACGCTGCAACCATGCTCAAGAATGAGGTTAGTGGTTCTGGAAGTTTTTACTGCTCCGTTTTTGGGTGCCTTGAAATGGACGAGCAGGAGGAGGAGGGGGAGTGGGAGAAGGAGCAGCAGCAGGGCGGTTGCCTCGTATGTGTGCTACATGCCACATTGGTGAGTTCTGCTTTTGAGGCGTCCCAAACCTTTTTAAACGTCTCAAACGAGCAGCAGCAGGGTGGTTGTCCGGTATGTGAGCTACATGGCACGCCACACAGGTGACTTTTGTGCCGGGGTTTCGCCTACAACTTCTTCACCGTCTCTTACTCCCTCCCACCCACCTCAACCGCTTTTGCCCCTCACCCTCACACTTTTTCCACCTCCCTTTCTCCCTCCTACATTTGTGTGTACGTGCAGGGCAACAAGCTGCATGCGCTGGTAAAGATTCACATTATCTCCCTCCCACCTCATCCGCTTCGGCCCCTCGCCCTCACACTCTTTCCATCTCCCTTCCTCCGTCCCACATGTGTGTGTGTGTACGTGCAGGGCAACAAGTTGCATGGGATGGGAAAGTACTCAGAAGCTGCAGAGAAGTATAACAGGGTATGTGCGTCTCTGGCACGGGGAGAGGGAGGGTATGGGGAGGACTTTGGAAGTGTGTTTAGGGAAGTGCAACAGGATACGTGTGTGTGCAGAGAGATGCAGAGGGATGACAATGCGGTTTAGAGGCATGGGACAATTTCGCAATGCACTCATCTCCAGCAGTGTGGCTCTGTTGCACGTGTGCAGCCAAGTCAACCTCATCACCTGCCACCTCAACACAACCTCCTGTCCCCTTGATGCCCCACTCTCCCTGTGTTCTGTGCTTGCTCCCCCTTTCTCTCCCCTGCACTCCCCTGCACTCCCCTGCACTCCCCTTCACCCCTCCCCAGGCGCGGGACAATCTAGCCATGCACTCCTCCCCAGCAGCGGTGTCCCTGCGTCGCACGTGTGCAGTCAACCTCATGTCCTGCCACCTCAAGACCAACGCCTTTGCCCATGCCGTCTCTGTTGGAACTCAGGTGAGTCTTTGTTGGCTCCCAGGTGGATCTCTGTTGGCACACAGGTGAGTCTTCGTTGGCTCCCAGGTGGGTCGCTGTTGGCTCTCAGGTGAGTCTCTGTTGGCTCTCAGGTGGGTCTCTGTTGGCTCTCAGGAGGATCTCTGTTGGCTCTCAGGTGAGTTTCTGTTGGCTCTCAGGTGAGGCTCTGTTGGCTCTTAGGTGGGTCTCTGTTGGCTCTCAGGTGAGTCTCTGTTGGCTCTCAGGTGGGCTTTCTTGTAAAACAAACCAGTGTTAGTGCTTGTCACTGCAGTTCCCACTCCTCCTCCTCTCTTGCGTTTTTGTTTGATTTCACATGGTAGTCTGCATTGCACTGACAATGCTCCTATTTGACTCTCTACTCCATGCGTTTGCCCTTTTCCATGACTTTTTACCCAGGTGATTTCTGAAGATGGGTCTAACCTCAAGGCGCTGTACAGACGAGGATTGGCCTACAAGGAGCTCGGGCAGCTTAAAGTAAGTGCAGGGTTTAGAATTTAGGGAGAGAAGTAAGTGCGTGGTTTAAATCTAGGCATGTCAAGAGCAGCACAAATAGCACCACGATTCTTTATAGTTGCCTCAAAAAAACCTCTTTTCTTTTTTTTTGCTTGCTGCATTTCTTTGCCATCCATGCCCTTCCTCTGTGCAGGAGGCAGTAGCAGACCTGTCCAAAGCGGCTCAGATCTCCCCAGACGATGAAACGCTGGCAGGCGTGCTCAGGTGGGGTGGCTGGTAGTTGCACTTTTGAGACTTGTCGAACCACACTATTCGCATTCTTGAGACCTGTCCAAAGCGGCTCAGATCTCCCCAGATGATGAAACGCTGGCAGGCGTTCTCAGGTGGGTGGGGTGGCTCTGGCTGTGAGCATTCTGGTTGTGAGGACTCTAAGAAGCATGCTAGTCGCATTCTTGAGACCTGTCCAAAGCGGCTCAGATCTCATCAGATGATGAAACGCTGGCAGGGGTACTCAGGTGGGGCGCAGGCAGGCACTGAGCAATCCTTGTCTCCTGATTGAATTCCGTGTAAAGCACGCAAGCAAGCACGCAAGCAAGCACGCAAGCAAGCACGCAAGCAAGCACGCAAGCAAGCACGCAAGCAAGCACGCAAGCAAGCACGCAAGCAAGCATGCACTGGGAAAGAGGTGGGGGGGTGTGAGGACACAAGAGGGGAGGAGCGTCAAGAGAGATGTCCGCGTTTGATTTTGAGTCGACTCAAAAGACTTTGAGTCGACTCAAAAAGTCTTTTGAGTCTACTCAAAAGTCAGGTGGGGGGTTGTGAGGTCACAAGGGGGGAAGAGGGTCACGAGAGATGTCCGCATTTCCACTGACCATTTTCTCTCTCCCTCGCCCAATTCGCTGTGTCGCTCATTAAATTTTCTCTTTCTTCCGCCCCTTCTGTATACCTGGTGACTTTTGAGTCGACTCAAAAGTCACCTCATTTCCACTGACCATTTTCTCTCTCCCTCGCCCGATTCGCTGTGTCGCTCATTAAATTTTCTCTTTCTTCCGCCCCTTCTGTATACCTGGTGACTTTTGAGTCGACTCAAAAGTCACCTCATTTCCACTGACCATTTTCTCTCTCCCTCGCCCAATTCGCTGTGTCGCTCATTAAATTTTCTCTTTCTTCCTCCCCTTCTGTATACCTGCCTCCCCTTATATTCATGCATTCAGAGAAACCAAAGCAGCACTGGAAACTACGAAGAAGAAAGGTAAGCTGGTTGGTAGTGCAGACGGTGTTATGTATTTATTTTACAAAATGCACTTTGTTCCCCGCTCTCCTGCTTTCACCCCTCTCCCGTTTATTTTTTTATTTCATCAATCAACTTCGTACTCCCCCCCCACCCCCTCTTTCCCGCCCACCATGTTCTTCCTTTCCCCTCACAAACCATCATCCCTCCAGTTCTCTTTCGTTCGAAGTCAGCTCACGAAATCGCTCCATCTTTCCTGTCAGTGGTTGTTTGCCTGGAAGGGGTTTCCCAATCCCCATGCCCTGCTCGTTTCTTTCTCCCACCTTCTCTTCCTGCCCGTGCAGTTTCTCTGGAGGAGATTGATGATGGATACGACGCTCCTGCTGCCTCCCTTGCTGCCTCCCTTGCTGCCTCCCTTGCTGCCTCCCTTGCTGCCTCCCTTGCTGCCTCCCCTGCTGCTCAGCCCACACCCTGCTGCTTGTGTTCTCCCCCCTGCGCCCCTCCCCTCTTGCTGCAGCTTCTTTGGAGGACATTGATGAGGGCGACGATGCCCCTGCTTCCTCCCTGGCTGGGTCCTCTGCTGCCGGAGCAGTAGTTTCGCCATCAGCAGCATCAGTGGCAGAAGCACAACCAGCAGCAGGAGCGGCAGCAGCAGTGGGCAGCAATCCACTGTTCATCCCCACCTCGGTCCCCACCATGTCTCCTGACCTCTCCGCCACCGACCCTGCTCTCGTGCGGTGAGTTGTGAACCCTCATGCCTGGTCGTGTTCATGCCATGCTCGAGCCATAGAGGCGATGATGACAAGCATGGATTCGGCAGCAGCGGCGACACTTCATATATTCCCCCCTCCATCCCCTCCCCCCTCCCTTTCCAGCAACATGCAGGCGATGATGACGAGCATGGATCCAGCAGCAGTGGTGGTGGTGAGTGACGGTGCTTAGAGGAAACTCTGAGTGGCACTCTTTTTTTGTTGGGCTCACAGACACTCCCCGCTCCTCTCCTCTCAACACACCCCCCAGCAACATGCAGGCGATGATGACGAGCATGGATCCAGCAGCAGTGGCAGCACTGAGTGGGGGTGCTTTATCCCCCGAAATGGCCCGCACTGCTGCCCAGCTCGTGGGCTCCATGTCCCCAGAAGACCTGCAGAAGATGATGCGCCTTGCCTCTACGTTCAGCCAAGCGGGGGGTGGGGTTGCTGGGGGGATGGGGGGAGGGGTTGCAGCGGGAACGGGAGGAGCAGGGGGAGCAGGGGCGGCTGGGGGAACGGGGGCAGGAAGGGCAGCAGGTGGTGTTGGCAGCAGCGGCGCCGGCAGCGGCAGAAGAGGGAGTAGCAGTGATGATTTCGATCCTGTTCTGACTCCCACAACGGGGAGTGCGAGCAGCAGAAGCACAGGCAATGCTGCCCCCGCTGCTCCTGCTGCTGCTGCTGTTACAGAGACCACCTATGGCATGCCTCCTGGATTTGGGAGAGAAGTGGAGGCAGCAGGGGAAGCAGCAGGAGGAGGGGGATTCAGTGGAGGGGGAATGGGAGCGGCTGGGATGCCGGCGCCAGGTGTCGGCGGGGGATTGGACCCGATGCAGCTGCAGGAGCGGCTGTTGAATGACCCTTCTACTGTGAAGGTAAGGCTTGCTGCACTGATGCCATGCCGTTGCCCCCTCCTTGTGGCCTTTCTTTTCCTTGTGGCCTTTCTTTTCCTTGTGGCCTTTCTTTTCCTTGTGGCCTTTCTTTTCCTTGTGGCCTTTCTTTTCCTTGTGGCCTTTCTTTTCCTTGTGGCCTTTCTTTTCCTTGTGGCCTTTCTTTTCCTTTTAGCCTTTCTTTTCCTTGTGGCCTTTCTTTTCCTTGTGGCCTTTCTTTTCCTTGTGGCCTTTCTTTTCCTCGTGGCCTTTCTTTTCCTCGTGGCCTTTCTTTTCCTTTGAAACGTCTTGGACGATCAGGCCCGCACTCTCGCTCCTCTGGCCAAAGGGCATTCCCCTTTTCCTTTCCTATCCTTCTTTTCATCTCTCTCCTCGACACTCAAGTCGAGCTTCCATTCCACCCCCCCTTCCCTCCAGCTGATGAGCGACATGATGCAGCAGCTGAGCGCAGAGGACATCGCAGCCATGAGTCCACGCATGGGGCAGAACATGTCCGTGGAGCAGGCAGAGTAGATGTGTGCATGAGTCTTCCGCCCCACCTTACCCCAACCCACCCCTCCCCACCCTTCCCCACCGCACCACACTCTACCGCACCCCACCCAATCCCCTTCCAGCTGATGAGCGACATGATGCAGCAGCTAAGCGCAGAGGACATTGCAGCCATGAGCTCACGCATGGGGCAGAACATGTCGGTGGAGCAGGCAGAGCAGGCCAAGCGCATGATGCAAGGGTTGGGTCCCGAGAGGCTGGCCACTGTGGTAAGAAGCGGGGCTGGTTATTGCGGTAAGCAGGGGGCGGGTTGCTGTGTGTGGGTGGAGCAGGCAGAGCAGTCCAAGCGCATGATGCAAGGGGCTGGGGCCTGAGCGGCTGGCCAGAGTGGTAGGTGGTGGAAAGGAGTGAGGATCGACCCGTGCGTGTCTGAGTGGATGGGAAGTGTGCATGGGCCAGAGCATGTCAGTGGTTCAGGCAGAGCTGCCCAAGTGCATGATGCAAGGGCTGGGGCCTGAGCGGCTGGCCACGGTCGTAACTGGTGGTGTAGAGTGAGCGTCTGGCATTGGAAAGGTAGTAAGTGCGCATAGGGCAGAGCATGTGGGTGGAATGGAGCAGGCAGAGCAGGCCAAGCACATGATGCAAGGGCTGGGACCTGAGAGGCTGGGAGCAGGCCGGGTAGGCCATGCATATTATGCAAGGGCTGGGGCATGAGAGGCTTGCTACTGTGGTAAGAGGGGAGGCTGGCCCATGCGTTGCAATGGATAGAGAGTGTATGGGGCAGAATAGAGCATGTAGGTGGGGTGGAACAGGGGGAGCCCTCGTCTCGCATCCCCCTCTAGATTGACATATATGGTAAGCTTCAACAGTGGGCCGTGATGTGAGCTTCACTCAACTATTGTCCGTCTCCACTACCCCGCCAACCCCTCTCCCCTTCTTTGTCACGTTTGCAGATGAAGTTTGCCCAGAAGGCACAAACGGCTGCAGCAAGATTTCGGGAGGCGGTGCGCTGGCTGCTGCAACGACCAGTGCTTCTGGCCTCCATCATTATCCTCGTTATTGCTGTCTTCATTCACTACATGGGATGGTTCTCCTGATTTGGAGGAAAAATTGTTCCAGATAATGAGTGAACACTATGTCACCATGAGGTTATGAAAAGTCACACACCTGAGATGCTAATTTCTTATAAACCGACAGGAATGACAGTTTCCTGCGCTTATTGCGAATTCCACAAGCGGGTAATCTAAACGTAACCCGTGGGACCAGCAGCTCCATTCCTGGTCAACTTAGGGGGTGTGTGATTTTGCCGAACCTGACAAAGTTCGAACTCAAACCGCTTTGCACCGTGGCAAAACTCTTCTAACTGTATTCTACCGTGACGAACCGTTATAAAGTTCGAACTTTCAGTCAGGTTCGGCAAAATCACACACCCTCTTAGGGCGTGTTTGAATCTAGTTTTTGGCATGAGTTCATGTTTTGATTCGATTGTGGCCAGTGAACACAAAGCGAACCTGATTCGACTTTGAGCTATAGCAAAGTTCGAACCGCGGGTGTCAAGTTGTAAACGCACAATCACACGCGCAAGAGCGAATTTGCAAGTTCGAGCTTACAGGGGGAACCCGAGCCGCCAATAGGGTGTGCAGGTTACCCGGTATTGTCTTTTTGACAGCGCGACAAGTCGACGAACGTTTTGCGAGCGTCGCTCACTCCTCGTTCGTGCCTGAAACCACACACGTTCGGTTCATCGTGCAAAACCACGTTGAGCATATTCTCTTTGGTTGGTTCGCATTTGGTATCTACCAGCTTGAACTCTACATCAACGAAATTAATAGCGAACACTTGCGACAAAAGTTACTCCTTGGAGTTGGACCTATTTTACGAACTCTAAATAGATTCTTACACGCCCTCGCTTTCGCGATTTCCATTAGAAAAAATATCATCTGTTTGGAGTCATTTCAAGCATAACCTCGCTGTCGTAAGCAGCGAACGTCGCCGTCAACCGCGACGAGCGCGTCTCCCCATGTCCGCCACTAAGCCTCTGCGAAGCGCGGCAAGGTCGAGGTGGCCTTGGCCGCGGATCGCGGGAGCTGCAATTCTTGCCGGTGCGACGCTCGGCGTTACTTACAGCGTCGCGGACGATGCGCTGCTCTTCTACCGATGCAGCAGGTAACCGTTGGATCGTCTCTTATGTCCTCTTAGCCGCAGGATTGTCGATCATGTCTCCGGGTTTAGTGTACACCCTTTTAGCCGTAGTCCGTCGATCATGCTCTCTTCTTACCGCTGGATCTTCAGTTACTATCTTTGAGCCTAGTTTTGAGTCGACTAAAAATCAGTTATATCTTTGAGCCTAGTTTTGAGTCGACTATAAATCAGTTACTATCTTCCTGAGGATCACCGATCGTGTCCTTTTATTTGTAAAATCACCAGCTATCTCAGCTGTAGTAAGATCATCGGTTTCTTATCGTCAAGGCCTTTTTTGAAGCGTCTTATTGAATAAATTGATTCAATACTGCTATGCTGCGTCTTTTTGTCGCTGTCAGGACAGTGAGGCTTTGGAAGTCGCGAATCGCAACGAGCAGCTAAAGGCGGCGATCGGATCGCCGTTGAGGAGAGGCCCCTGGCACAGCGCCACTATCGGTACTTCTCATGGCGGACGCGCAGCTTCCGCGACGTTTCCTGTGGAGGGACCCCGGGGCTCAGCGCTGTTTCACCTCCGCGCCATCAGAACGCACGGTCAGTCCGTCAACTTGTCAGTCAGTCGATCAGTCCGTCAACTTGTCAGTCAGTCGATCAGTCCGTCGACTTGTCAGTCAGTCGGTCAGTCCGTCGACTTGTCAGTCAGTCGGTCAGTCCGTCAACTTGTCAGCCAGTCGGTCAGTCCGTCGACTTGTCAGTCAGTCGGTCAGTCCGTCAACTTGTCAGTCAGTCGGTCAGTCCGTCAACTTGTCAGTCAGTCGGTCAGTCCGTCGACTTGTCAGTCAGTCGGTCAGTCCGTCGACTTGTCAGCCAGTCAATCAACTGGTCAGTCAGTCGGTCGGTTAGTCAGTCAGTCAGTACGTCCGTCTGTCTGACGGTCTGTCTGTCTGTCTGTCTGACTGACTGTCTGCCCGTCCGTCCGTCCATCCCTCACCCCATCCTATCCTTCATCCCATCTGACCTCATTCCAACCCCCTTGCAGGTGGCAGGAGCACCCTCCTGTACAACCTTCACACAGACGCTAAGTGGCAGCTGTTTGTGCTTCAGGCTACATTTGCTCCCATAGCTGCGTTGGGAGCTGATACTGCTGGAGACTTGAACGCAAAATCGTCAGAATCAGCATCAGAAGGAAAACCCGCATCAGATTCACTAGCAGCAGCAGGAACAGCAACATCGGGAGAAGTGGCGTTGCCAGCACAAGCAGCAGTGCCAGGAGCATCACCAGCGGCATCAACAGCAACAGGAGTAGCATCGGCAACAGCAGCAGCAGCAGCAACAGCAGCAGCATCGGCAACAGCAGCAGCAACACCAGCAGCAGCAGCAGCAGCAGCAGAAGCAACAGCAGCAGCAGTATTGCCTCCGTCCTTTCGGATTGACCTTTTATACGGCCCTAGTGGTCCTTCAGTGGTGAAGGCCGCTTCAGAGGAGACCTCAGAGGGAGAGTGCCTGCCTTGTCAAGCACGCACACAGAGACAAGAAAAAGCGAGCTAGTGGCAGCACCGCCACTAGCAGCAGCACCGCCACTAGCAGCAGCACCGCCACTAGCAGCAGCACCGCCACTAGCAGCAGCACCGCCACTAGCAGCAGCACCGCCACTAGCAGCAGCACCACCAGTATCAGCAGCAGCAGTGCCTCAGTCCTTTCGGATTGACATTTTATACGGCCCTAGTGACCCTTCAGTGGTGAAAGGCTGCTGCTTCAGAAGAGTGCAGAGAGGGAGAGTGCCTGCTGTGTCAAGCACGCGCGCAGAGAACGGAAAACACGAACTAATTTGGGAGCTTATTGAGAACTTTGGAGATGTTGAAGAATTGAATCAAAGGCTGTTGATAGTTGAATTGAAAGGAGTTCAGAAAGGCCTGTAAGGAAGTGCCCAAGAGGTGGTAGACTGAGGAAAGCATTTGTCGACCTAGACAAGGTTTTGCAGTGACTAGGTGCCAGTCCTTGATTTCAGTCAGGGGTGTGATGACAAATTCTGCCCCTATTGATTAGCCATTGCTGGCACTACTAAAATCACTGCCAAGTGTAGTGTTCCTGCAATAGTGTCTTGCTATTTTTGAGGCGCCTCAAATGCTGTCACGCAATTAGTAACTAACCCATTCACCACTCCCCATTATTTACAGACACATACCCACTATACAAGCGACCATTAGTGTTCTTAAGCTCGTTGATCATCCTATTCCAATTTGATGCCAGTACACCAACGAAAAAGTCGCACTCCGAAGCGATAAGCAGGTTCGCGAAGCTGATTCCCACCGTACGCGCCAGTCCAAACATCTCGGTGTATTCCGACATTCTCGTTCCAGCTCCTTGCCTTGGGACCTCAGAGTAGAAAAACGTCCAGTCTGTGAAGCGACTCGACTGGTCCACAACACTCTGCAGAACATGCCAGGAAGAAATCGAGAAAAATAAATATAATGAATAATGTTGTGAAGTGTTTGAAGACCCTCCTTTAATCACATGTGTGTGATGTATCCTCATGAGACTTCCCCTCTCACCTGCATGTTTCCCACCCTCAATTGCATGTACAGTACCTGCATGTGGCTGCATGTTTCCCACCCTCAATTGCATGTACAGTACCTGCATGTGGCTGCATGTTTCCCACCCTCAATTGCATGTACAGTACCTGCATGTGGCTGCATGTTTCCCACCCTCAATTGCATGTACAGTACCTGCATGTGGCTGCATGTTTCCCACCCTCAATTGCATGTATAGTACCTGCATGTGGCTGCATGTTTCCCACCCTCAATTGCATGTACAGTACCTGCATGTGGCTGCATGTTTCCCACCCTCAATTGCATGTACAGTACCTGCATGTGGCTGCATGTTTCCCACCCTCAATTGCATGTACAGTACCTGCATGTGGCTGCATGTTTCCCACCCTCAATTGCATGTACAGTACCTGCATGTGGCTGCATGTTTCCCACCCTCAATTGCATGTACAGTACCTGCATGTGGCTGCATGTTTCCCACCCTCAATTGCATGTACAGTACCTGCATGTGGCTGCATGTTTCCCACCCTCAATTGCATGTACAGTACCTGCATGTGGCTGCATGTTTCCCACCCTCAATTGCATATACAGTACCTGCATGTGGCTGCATGTTTCCCACCCTCAATTGCATGTACAGTACCTGCATGTGGCTGCATGTTTTCCACCCTCAATTGCATGTACAGTACCTGCATGTGGCTGCATGTTTCCCACCCTCAATTGCATGTACAGTACCTGCATGTGGCTGCATGTTTCCCACCCTCAATTGCATGTACAGTACCTGCATGTGGCTGCATGTTTCCCACCCTCAATTGCATGTACAGTACCTGCATGTGGCTGCATGTTTCCCACCCTCAATTGCATGTACAGTACCTGCATGTGGCTGCATGTTTCCCACCCTCAATTGCATGTACAGTACCTGCATGTGGCTGCATGTTTCCCACCCTCAATTGCATATACAGTACCTGCATGTGGCTGCATGTTTCCCACCCTCAATTGCATGTACAGTACCTGCATGTGGCTGCATGTTTTCCACTCTCACCTGCATGTACCTTCTTGTTTCCCACCCACTCCCCTGTGCCGACCACTTCCTCTGAACTTCTCTTTCCCAGTTGCATCTGTGCTGAGCCATGTTCTACCCTGCACTTACCCCCTTCCCACCTCCCCCTCACCCGCATCTCTTTGCAGACCCACACGTATCGCACACTAGGGTCCTCCCGTCGCACACAGTTAGCCATGAACATGACCGCATAGAAAGAGAACAGCTACATCTTGCTGCCCTCACTCCCACATCCCTCCCCCTCACTCGCATCTCTGTGCTGAGCCACACGTATCGCACACGAGGGTCCTCCCGTCGCACACAGTTAGCTATGAACATGACTGCATAGAAAGAGAACAGCTGCATCTTGCTGCCCTCACTCCCACATCCCTCCCCCTCACCTGCATCTCGGTGCTGAGCCATACGTATCGCACGGCGGGGAATGCTCGCCGCACCCGGTTAGCCATGAACATGAGGGCATAGAAGGAGAAGAGCCGCATTTCGAACGACTTGTCGCCCTGCCGCACATGCACACTCACGATCGGCCGCGGGACGTACGGCTCCCCTCCCACCCCCTCGTAGTTAGCAAGATACGGGTCCCAACCATACTGCTCCCCTTCCGAAACCCCAAACACTCCGCCACTGCTGGTCCTGCTGCTGCTGCTGCTGCCGCTGCTGAAATCAGCAGCAGCGGTGCCATCAGCTAAGCTACAGCCCTGGTACCCCATCTTAGGCCATGCACACGTTTCCAAGCCCGGGCCTCTCTGCCTCTTTGCCCCAGGAGCAGAAGAGGCAGCAACAGGAGCAGAAGAGGCAGCAACAGGAGCAGAATCAGCAGCAGCACCAAGGGGTTGGGGCGTCTCAGGACTAGAGTACGAGGAGGAGGAGAGGGGGGAGGAGGAGGAGGGGGGGGAGGAGGAGGAGGAGGAGGAGGAGGAGGAGGAGGAGGAGGAGGAGGAGGAGGAGGAGGAGGAGGAGGAGGAGGAGGAGGAGGAGGAGGAGGAGGAGGAGGAGGAGGAGGAAGGCTCAAGTTCCGGTTGACCTTGCTGTTCAAACTCCCACCATCTCCCAACCTCCTTCCCTTGCTCAATCCCACTCTCCCTCAACCTCCTCTGCGCAAAGTCCTCCCCACCCCTTTCCGCAACCCCCTGCTGATCATCAGAAACCCCACCGTTCCTCCCAAGCTCCGGCCGAACCTCTCGAGGTTCGGCGCCGTCTACCCTCTTCTCCTCATCAGAAATTCTCCCACTCCTCCCAAACTCTGCGAGCATGCTTGTTCGGTCCATCTGGGACGCCACGACCTGCCTGGCCACGTGCATGCCGTACACGTGGTGGCGCTCGCGGTTGATGATGTGGCACAGGTAGGCCGACGGCCACCGCAGCATGAAGCGCGTTGCTTGGGCTCGCCACCAGTGCGCCTGGTGGGAGGAGGAGGAGGCATAAGAGGGCAGGGTGGGGGAGAAGCGAAAGAGGTTGGGCAGAGAGACAAGTAGGCCGATGACCACCGCAGCATGAAGCGCTTTGCTTGGGCCCTCCACCAGGGGAGAGAGTGAGAGCCCAGAGGGGAGACGCCTTGTCCCACCGCTGGGCTTGGCGGAACAAGGGGGGAAAAAGACAATGCAGGAACAGGAACTAACAGGAACAAGAACAGAAGAACTGTAAAGAACAAACAAGGGCTCTCTAAGTTGCAAACCTGTGGAAAACAAGGGCTCTCTAAGTTGCAAACCTGTCGAAAACAAGGGCTCTCCGAGTCAAACCAACTGAGTTGTTCCTCATTCTCCCTTGAGCCTCTCCCGTTGACTCACCTCCTTTAGTTCCTTGGATTGCAAGCCCATACGCCACAGCACTAGACGGGCCAGCATGGCCTCTTGGGGTTGCCTCGCTGCCACCAACCCACCCCTTCTACGTACCAACATAAGCCCTTATGGTGCTCGCTTGGCTATGCGCCCCATCATCACTTCGTTGGAGAGCAGAGCGGGTGCGGACAAGACACCTGCTCTAGTGTGCTTGCTCCTTGCCTTCTGCACCACAGCAACTCACCTTCTTTGGTTTTGGGTCTAGTTTCGAGTCGACTCAAAACTCGCTCCTTCCCTTGTGCGCCACAGCAGCTCACCTTCTTTGGTTCCTCATGGTACTTGCATGTATGCCGTAGCACCTCGTTGGAGCCAAAAGTGGCTCCACCGTCAAAAGTCTCTTTTGAGGATTCTCCAATACAGACACCACCATCTCAATAGAGACTCAATATAGTCGACCCACCTTCTTGAACTCCTTGGTGTGCTTGCCCATCCGCCCCAGCACCTCGTTGGGGAGAGGGTGCAGAGGAGAGGGCTGCTCAGGCCTGCACCTTCCCCATCGATAAACAGAGAGCCCTACTTGCTCACCTTCTTAAACTCCTTGGTGTGCTCGCCCATCCGCCCCAGCACCTCGTTGGGGAGAGGGCTCCTCAAATAAGCCTTGCCCCAGAGACTGCACGTGAGGAGCAGGGAGGAAGAAGCACAATGCACTGGAGTGGGGTGAAGGCTTCCTGCGTGTTACTCGCTCATGCGCCCCATGGCCTCGTTGGGAGGAGGGCTCCTCAGATAAGCCTTGACCCAGACGCTGTATGCGGAGAGAAGAAAAGGGAGAAGCGAGGATGGGTTGAAGTGAAGAGGAAATAGGAGTGGGATAGGTCCCTTCCTGGTGTGAGTGAGTGAGCTCATATGGCCCTCATCCACCACCTCGTTGGGGAGAGGGCTCCTCAGATACGCCTTGACCCAGACACTGCATGTGGAGAGGAGAGGAGTGGGAGAAACAAGAGAGAGATAAAGTGTGGTGGGCCCCTGCTGTGAGTGAGTGAGCTCATATGCGTGAGCGAGTGGGCCCCATCCATCACCTTGTTGGGGAAAGGGCTGGTTTTTGAGAATTCTCAAAAACCACTATGCGTGAGTGAGTGGGCCCCATCCATCACCTTGTTGGGGCAAGGGCTCCATGCGTGAGTGAGTCAGACATGCGTTTCCCCATCCATGTGTAGTGAGGGTGTTTTTGAGACGTCTCAAAATCACCTTGTTGGGGCAAGGGCTCCGCAGTCAGACATGCGTTTCCCCATCCATCACCTCTTTGCCTCCTTGTACCTTGATCCGCATTTTGATGCACGGCATGCATGTGTGTGGCTTTTGAGTCGACTCAAAAGTCATTTCGTTGGGAAAAGGGCTCCTCAGGTTTGCCCAACCCGTCTGACACTTGACCCACATGTGTGCGCACAGCGTTGACCCACTCACTCGGCTGCAGTGCGAAGATCATGATCACAGACGCACACATGCACCTCCCACTCACTCGACTGCGGTGCGAAGATCATGATCACAGACGCACACATGCACCACCCACTCACTCGACTGCAGAGCGAAGATCATGATCACAGACGCACACATGCACCACCCACTCACTCGACTGCAGTGCGAAGATCATGATCACAGACGCACACATGCACCACCCACTCACTCGACTGCAGTGCGAAGATCATGATCACAGACGCACACATGCACCACCCAATCACTCGACTGCGGGGTCATGGAGCTGGGACATGCCCTTCGACCGACCCTTGATCCACACTTGTGCACGCGCTCCCTCACGAACAAATGCGCTCCCTCCTTTGTAATATCACGCAAACGCGCGCGCTCGCTCACGTCTGATTATAACAAAGCTGGTGTGTTTTACACGCACACATACCACATGACTCACTCGGCTGCAGTGGCATTGAGCTGGGCAATGATCTCCGAGCCTTGATCCACACCGAGCCCCGGCAGCAGTGTGAACATCATGAGATCATCAGTACCATCATCAGCACGCATGCACCACTCAGTGAGTGACTCTTGAGTCGACTCAAAAGTCACCTCGAGATCATCAGTACCATACCATCATCAGTACCATACCATCATCAGTACCATACCATCATCAGTACCATACCATCATCAGCACGCATGCATGCACCACTCAATGCGTGGCACTCACTTACTCCGCTGCGGTGGCATTGAGCCGTGAGATGACCTCTGAGCCTTGATCCACACCGAACCCTGGCAGTGTTGCGAATATCACAAGAGCATCAGACGCCACACACGCCACATTGTCACATGGCTGCGCTACAATCACATCCTCGTTTGTCACATCCGCTGCACTCTCCGCCCCATCACTCCCATCAGATGCATCATCAGTACCATCCGTTGCATCATCACTCCCATCAGATGAATCATCAGTACCATCCGTTGCATCATCACTCCCATCAGATGCATCATCAGTACCACCAATTGCATCATCACTCCCATCAGATGCATCATCAGTACCACCAATTGCATCATCACTCCCATCAGATGCATCATCAGTACCACCAATTGCACCATCACTCCGATCACTTGCATCATCTGTACCATCCGTTTCAGTGGTCCCAGTGTTATGTCCTGCTCTCAACAGCCTCCTCTCACTTCCCTTTTCGGTTTTCCCTCCTTCTGCTTGCTTCTCCTTCTCTTCCTTGGCAACAGCTTGCTGCTTCCTTTCATTTGTATCTCCTCCACCTCCTCCTCCTCCTCCTCCTCCTCCTCCTCCTCCTCCTCCTCCTCCTCCTCCTCCTCCTCCTCCTCCTCCTCCTCCTCCTCCTCCTCCTCCTCCTTGCTCCTCTCCCTTGTCCTTTTCTTCCCTCTCCTTTTCTTCCCTCTCCCTTTCTTCCCTCTCCTTTTCCTCGGCAGCAGCTCGCTGCTTCCTCACCTCAGCATCCTTCCAGGCCTGATGCGCCTTGACAGCGATCTCCTCACACTCCTTGGACGAGAACCGGAAGAAGTAGCAGTCCAGCGACCCCCGGTGGCCCAGCTCTGGACAAGGCAAATGGCAAGAGGAACACACGCGCAATACGAGTCAGATACGTGTGCATGCGGGTGTGTGCGTGCGGGTGTGTGCGCATGGGGGTGCGCCTTGACAGCGATCTCCTGACACTCCTTGGACGAGAACCGGAAGAAGTAGCATTCGAGGGACCCTCGGTGGCCCAGCTCTACGAGAAGTCAAACGAGAGGTGGAACACAGGAAATGCAAGACAAGTCAGAGGGTGGATAAGTATGTTTGTGAGAGAGTAGGGGAGGGGGGTGCTTGTGTGTGTCTCATGCCTACTCAGCCTCACAAGCCAATCTTTCTACTGTTCCACTTGGTCAGCCTAACCCTACCCCATGCCACACTACGCTCACTACCTCACGCACTAATTCACCCGCTGACTGACTCACTCACTCATTCACCCATCACTCACTCACGTCCTGACTGACTGATAGAATGGCAAACTAGCTCGCTCCCTCACTCACTCCCCCACTCACTCTCGCATTCCTCATGGTTCGCCTGGGGCAGAGTGCCGGGCATGAGCACGAGAGTCCTGTTGTGCACCAACGCGGCACTCAGCACAGCGCCCATCACGTGCAGCTGCGACCCTATCCCGTGCCACCCCATGCTCAGCCACTCCACCAGCATCAACCGCCGCCCCTTGCACTGCTTGGCCGGGAACTGCTGTCGCCATATGTCAGTTTGTGCTTGCCGGGTGGCTGCCAGGTTGGCAGCATCGGAGCCTCGGATCTGCAGGAGGGGTGGTGGGCAGGGCAGAGGAGCGGTGGGCAGAGCAGAGGAGCGGTGGGCAGAGCAGAGGAGCGGTGGGCAGAGCAGAGGAGCGGTGGGCAGGGCAGAGGAGTAAAATACACTTAGTCCTCGTTACAACCCTTGAAAATAGCCACGTGTAGAGAGGGTACTTTTGAGACGTCTCAGAAATACCCTCTCTACACGTGGCAGTCCTCGTTACAACCCTTGAAAAAAGGCAGAAAGGTAGGCGGCATCGTAGCCTCGGATCTGGACGAGGGGCGGGGGGCAGGGAGGAGGAATGAAATACAGGATAGGGAGGAAGATTCAAATATAGTTGATCCTCGTTATAAGTTCAGGCAATGCTGCAAGATCGGCAGCGTGGATTGGAGGAAGTGATGGGCGGTGGCTAAAGCAGAGGGGCAGGCAGCTTTCCCGTTATCAGTATAGTCGTTCCTAAAACGGTCCAGAGAACATCCGCTTTGAGACGTCTCAAAAGAGAACGATGCACGATGGTAGAACTACATGCCGCTGCAGAATCATATTACAGAAAACCGCAGCACCGAACCGCACCGAACAGCACCGCACCGCGCCGCGCCGCACTGCAGCACACGGAGGATGCAACTCTCACCCAGGGGGGTTGGAGGACGTTGCCGCAGGCAGGATTGGTAGTACAGCCCAGTAGAGCGGTTCCCCCCCCCTTCCCCCGTTTCTTTGAGGATAGGCGGACTGCATTCCCCCCCCCAGCACTGACCAAGGACCCAGCTCTCACCCAGGGGGGTTGGGGCTCACCCAGGGGGGTTGGGGCTCACCCAGGGGGGTTGGGGGACGTTGCCGCATGCAGGGTTGGGTACAGCCCAGAAGGGCGATTCCCCCGCTCCCCCCGTTTCTCCGTGGACAGGCGGAAGGCTGTGCGCGCCTCACAGTCCTCCAGGTGGGGCGGCGGGGGAACGTCCGGGGGAAGCGAGATGGCGGAGGGGGGGAATGTGTTTTCCGCCTGCAGCCCATAGGCGCTGTCCCAGTGCTGGTTGGGGCGGGAGAGTAGGAGGGTTGGTGCGGTGGTGGATGGGGAGAGGAAGGGGGAAGAGAAAGGGGGGGAAGAGGAAGGGGGGGAAGAGGAAGGGGGGGAAGAGAAAGGGGGGGAAGAGAAAGGGGGGGAAGAGAAAGGGGGGGAAGAATGTGGATGTTCGGGGGAAGCGAGATAGCGGATGGGGGAGAGGGATACTCCGCTCCGCCTGCAGCCCATAGGCGCTGTCTCAGTGCTGGTTGCGGGAGGAGGGGAGGGGTAGGGAAGTCCAGGACCAAAGGGGGATCGGCTCAGGAATTGAAGATTGTTGGGGGAATTGAAGATTGTGGGGGGAAGAGAGACGGCGGAGCGCGGAAGGGGGAAAGGGATTCTCCGCCTGCAGTTCGTAGGTGCTGTTTCAATGCTGCAAGAGACAGGGATGCAGGGAGGGAGGGAGGGAGGGAGGGAGGGAGGGAGGGAGGGAGGGAGGGAGGGAGGGAGGGAAGGAGGGAGGGAGGGAGGGAGGGAGGGAGGGAGGGAGGGAGGGAGGGAGGGAGGGAGGGAGGGAGGGAGGGAGGGAGGGAGGGAGGGAGGGAGGGAGGGAGGGAGGGAGGGAGGGAGGGAGGAAGGGAGGGAGGGAGGGAGGGAGGGAGGGAGGAAGGGAGGGAGGGAGGGAGGGAGGGAGGGAGGGAGGGAGGGAGGGAGGGAGGGAGGGAGGGAGGGAGGGAGGGAGGGAGGGAGGGAGGGAGGGAGGGAGGGAGGGAGGGAGGGAGGGAGGGAGGGAGGCTAGTGGCGGGAGGTGGCTGTAAAGGGTTGTAATGCCGCATACCATAAACGGGGACGTTATTGTAACGCAACCAATGCCGTGTGTTCCAGGCCCAAAAATTTTTGGCGCAGGCGCGCAACGCGATATTGGCACACCTGATACAAGGTCCGCATGGCCTCCAGAAACGTATCTTCCTCCGGGCGTTTAACCGACACCCTCACGACCCATTCCGCTCGAAGCACAACGGTCATGAGTAGAAGGAGGATCGCAACGGTCGCGGGACGGCGGAGGAGGCAGGCGACGCGGGTCATGAGAGGGACGGTGGTGATTGCCGTTCTGTGCACAGTGCCACTGATCGGACCGTTGTGGAGCATGCTGGAGTCGGTCTGCTTTTGAGTCGACTCAAAAGCGATCTGAGAAGTCTCAAAAGAGGAGGAGGGCGACGCGGATTATGAGAGGGAGGGTGATCATGATCATTCTGTGAGCAGTGATCGGACCGCTGCGGACCATTCTCGGGCTACTCGTAATACGAACTACGGGCGGAGGGAGACGGGAGGCGGCGCAAAAGGTCCGACGGACGACGGACGACGGAAGGCGGAGACGGAGTCGTGACGTTGTGAGTAGTAGCTCTCGGACCAACGAGCACGTTCGCCGTGAGGCACGGCGCAGCGCGAACCGCCGTCGCACGTCACTTCGGGGCTAGCGAAACCATGGAGGCCAATGCGTACAGTACTTTGTGGCTCAGCGACAACGCACTCAGCGAAACAATTTTGACGAAGAATTGGTCGTCGTAACTGTGCCTCGCAGTACAGTAGTTCGCTAAAAAGTACAGCGAACCAGGACAGCCCCAAGGCTGGCCGTTGGCCTGTCACACTCGAAAATCTTATATCCAACAATTTACACAGCAGTATTCTTTGATGGTGTTCTCTAGGCACTAGCGGAGGGGGGGCGAGAGGAATCTTCCTCTCTCTGTGTTTTTTGGTCCGTCAAGACGGTCAGCCCGTAAAACCGTGCCGAGCCATCTATTTGCCCTCCGATCCAAAACGAAGGTAAATGCCAACAGAACGCTCCTGAGCGATGTGCACCCCTTGAAAGCTGCACATTTACCCTCCCCACCTTCCTCCTCAGGCAATTTTTGCCTCTCTCGCCTTGCCTTTCGGCAACCACTCTTTACGGGGATGTGCAACGGCCAGAGAAGAGAGGAGCTAGGGGAGGGAACACCGAAATGCTAACCGTGAAAGTAGAGACTGCTGAACTTCTTAGCCCAAATACACGAAAAAGAATCAGGAAAAAAAAACACTATGGCGATCCATGTTGCTGATTTCGTGAGTGTTGGATTGCTCATAGCACAAGTTAGAGATGAAGGTTGGGTGTGTGGGTTGTTCCAGGCGTGGTGTTTTTTTTTTTTCGAAATGGACCCACCGAGACTTTTGTTTCTAACCCTTCTTGCTATTTGGCCCCAATTGCGATACCCCCGTTTCTGGATGGCGAAAATGTACCCACAAGTTCTTCATTTACCTTCCCCCCCTCGCGCCCGAAATTTCACTTCTTCGGTTGTAGCGGGAGGTGGTGAAATCGAGCCCCGAAAAACTCTCGGAACCATCATCGTTTACATTCGCCCCCCCTTCTCCCCCCCCCCCCCCCCCCCCCCGCGGGAGTTACCAGAACACCACATTTGTGATTCCATTTGCAAACTGGACTAGGCCTTCAACAAGGCAAAATCGACACCGTTGATTGCGCTAGATTTCATCAGGAGTCTTTCCGCACCGTCTCAGCAGAATATCAGGAGTCTTTCCGCACTGTGCTCCCGTGTCCGGCGGTTCCGTCTGGCTCGTTGTCGGGTTTCCACCTCCCCTCGTTCTCGACGAACCTGGTGAGCAACGCTGTCATCCAGGATCAGTGGGTTGACACCTTTACTCCTGGAGGACAGCGTGTGGCGATCCTCACGTGCTCCAGGACTGGCCGTCACCTGGCTACGTTTACCCGTCAGCCGGGGTCGAGTCTCTACACACTGTCCACTGCGTCTCCTCAGGTCGCTGCTGTCGGTCAGGTGTCCGCGTCAGGTCTGGTAGCCCACGCCTGTGAGTGTCGTTCCCTGTCGCACCAGACTCTTCTCTGGCACCACCGCCTGGGCCACCCCTCCTTGCCACGCCTCCGTGGCATGCACCGTCGCCACCTTGTGTCTGGTCTTCCCAGGTCCCTCCCTCCCCTCCCTGCCTCGCCTGCGCCGCCTTGCCTTCCTTGCGTCGAGGGGCGGCAGCGCGCCACTCCTCACTCCTCCTCGTTCCCCCCGACAGAGGCTCCTCTGCAGACCCTCCACCTGGACGTGTGGGGCCCAGCCCGCGTTCGTGGCCAGGGCGGTGAGCGGTACTTTTTGCTGGTTGTCGACGACTACTCGCGTTACACCACGGTCTTCCCCTTGCGCACCAAGGGTGAGGTCCCTGCTGTTCTGATCCCTTGGATCCGCACAGTTCGTCTCCAGCTCCGCCGCCGTTTCCGGACAGATCTTCCTGTCCTGCGTCTGCACTCTGACAGAGGTGGTGAGTTCTCCTCCGACCTCTTGAGGACCTTCTGTCAGGCGGAGGGCATCGAGCAGACCTTCACGCTTCCGGACTCCCCACAGCAGAATGGGGTTGCTGA